TGTCTGCCACAGCCTTAATCTTCATAGGTTTTTACAGCCAGAAGGTATGGGACTTCTCTGCCTGGCACTGGAACCCTAGGGTGGGGTACCTGGTGTGGGGTTGGGACCCCTCGTTCCTGAGATGTCGCTGCTGATTTTTATTTGCCACACGTGTGTGAGACCAGCCTGTTCCGTGTTTTTGCTCCTCCTACCAGTCTCGGTGTGGTTTCTTCTTTAATTCCATAGTTGTAGGACTTCCATTCATCTTGATTTCTAATGGTTCTGAATGATGGTGGTTCTGTAGTTTAGTTGTAATTTTGATGTGGTTGTGCAAGGAGGCAAGCCGTGTTTACCTACGCTGCGAACTTGGCTAATAGGTAGTCCAAACTCTGGACTTTTGGGTCCCTTGCTTGTTTCAGTACTTGTTTTAGATAGTGTGGTTTCTTGTCTGTAAATATGGCCTAAGCAATAGTCCCATTTCGGTGAGTAACAAGCAGTGTGTCCCTGAGCCCTTAGCTGGAGTGTTGTCCTGTGAACCAGAAGGTTATGGGTTTGATCCCCCCATTGGGGTGCCCATGGGAGACAACCAATTGATGTTTCTCTCTCACATGGGTGTTTCTCTTTCTCCCACCCATCCCCTTTCTCTAAAATCAGTAAACATGTCCTCAGGTGAGACTTAAAAAAAAAACAACAAAAAAACAAGCAGTATGATCTTGGGTGAGCAGTTAACCCCACAGGTTGGATAGTAGTAGCCTGCCAGCTTTATGTAATGTTTATCAATAATACTTTGTTTTTGTCAATATTTAAAAATTAGGAGATTTCATTTATTAAAAATTAAGATTTTTTTTGCTTTGTCTTCAAAAACATGACCCTCCCCCTGAGATAGTATGTCCATGTGCACTTTCACTCTGTGAAGTTCCCTCATGTTTATCAGCTGCCTGCTTTGTCTCCCTTTATCTAAACTGGGGGTCATTATGCCAGCCTGCCACATGTCTATAAATAATAGCAATTTGAAAAATAAAAACTATCAAAATATAAGACCATCTGAAATTTTTAATAATGATTTAAGATTTCTTATTAGTATTTGTGCAAAAACTGAAAGTGATTTTTATCTTATTTTTATCATGAAAAATGATAAAAATTATTGTATATAGTCTTTCTGTGCTCACCTTTTTTATTCAGCAGTTGGATCTTTAAGCTTATTTCCAGCATGTACTGATTCGTGAACATTCTGTTAATCTGGAGAGTGATTTTTTTTTTTTAGAAAATTTCAGTCAAGCTCTCAACATAGGAAAGATTGTGTTACTTGGCTCATGTGAAGATAGTGAAGTCTGAAAACATTGTGACATTTCTCCATGAAGAATATTTGAAAATAGTTTACCCATTTATGAATCCCTTTACCCGAAAGGCTACCACATTGGTTATGGAATTTAAATACCTTGTGTCGTTTTTGAGTAAGATATGATTTATAATGTTTTGGTTTTTAAAACTGTACCAGAGGCTCTAAGTACATAGATTAAACTTCAAAATGTTTTGTATAAGAATAGAAATAAGAAGTGCGTGTCTAAAAAATTATGTAACTATGTAACCATGTTTTATTATTTGAGATGGTCAGGATTTAAACTATACACGATCAAGTTGGGATCCTTTTGTTTCAGCCCACTATTTCAGCCATTGCTAATTGAGTCCCTCCTGGGTTTTGAGACACAGATAGGTAGGTAATACAGGGTCAGACAGAAGGTAATTTCAAATGTGGGGTGGGGGTCATCCTGGGAATGGCTACAGTGTTATTCAGCAAAAAAGAATCGTGTACTGTGACTGAGAAATTCACTACTAACCTAACTTCTTAAGTATATTCTATCCCAATAGTTCATTCTTGTGAGATTGCTTCTCAATCCTCTGGAGAGGTTTCTTGCCAGAGAGAGAGAGAGAGAGAGAGAGAGAGAGAGAGAGAGAGACACACACACACACACACACACACACACACACACACACACAACACGTACTCCTTACTGATGATTCTTAAGCTGTGGGGCTTTCTTACCTTCACATCTCTGCACTTGTCACATACTTTTTTATTTATCCACTTTTAATAAATTGGAATGATTATTTCCTTCCTTACTGTTTATTGTGGTAATCTATTATCTTATCATATCACGAATTATCCCAACACTTAGTGACTTAAAATAATAATGAACCTTCTCTCAAACAATTTCTCTGGGGAAGGTATCCAGAACTAGCTAACTTAGGTAGGTCTGTTTCTGGATCTGATGGGCTGCAATCATCTGAAGGGTTGATGGGGCTTGAAGTGTCCACTGCTAAGGTGGCCCATTCGCATGCCTGGCAAGTTATTAATGCTGATAGTTGGTGTGAGGCTATCAGTTCCTTGCTATGTGATCTTGCCAAGTGCCCTCACACAGTGATAGCTTGATTTACTGGGTGAGGAGCTCGAGAAAGCAAGGCAGAAACCAGTGTCTCCTGTGGTCTATCCTCAGACGTCTCACTTTGCTGTTACTGCATTATGCATATTGCTTATGCAGGGCTCTGTCTTCATTGTGGGCGGGGCCACATGAGGGTGGGAGGGGCCACATGAGGGTGGGAATACCAGGACATGAGCATTATCTGGGCTGTCTTGGAAGCTGGCTACCCACAGCTGTTTAACATTGCTCTTGTTCATCATTTGTTACTTCCTATTTTTGAACAGCAGTATGGAATTACAGTGGCCATTTTAAACACCTAGCTTCTCATGAAAATATACCAAAAGAATTTGATCAACCACTTAGCTTCCATATTGCCAGGAACCCAGTGATGGCTTGCTCATAAAATTGTATTTATTGATTTAGAGTTTACTGATTTGAGACTTTGTGTTAATGGAGGAGACATTTATAGGATTTTTCTTAAATAACGAATTTAGAATAATTTCATTTCTGGAGGCCCTTCTGATTAGTAAAGGTGAATGGGTATAAAACTGAAAATTACAGATTGCTAGCAAATTTCTTTGATAATTGTATGTTAGTCCTTAGTGGCTGCTATAACAAAATAACAGAGACTGGGAGACTCATAAACAACAGAAATATATTTCTCTCAGTTCTGGAGGCTGGGAGTCCAAAGTCAGGATGACGGTGTAGTCTGGCAATGGCCCTCACCTTGTGGAAGTGGTGAGGCCACTCTCTGGAGCCTCTTTGCAAGGCTCTCATCCCGTTTGTGAGGTTTTCACTCTTATGGCTAACCACCTCTCAAAGACCCTATTTACTAATACCAACACTTTGTAAAACTTAGAATTTCAACATACGAATTTGGGGGGTGGGGCACAGACCTTCAGACCATTCCATTGTATAAATAGACTTTTTCTTTAAGATTTTATTTTATTTATTTTTAGAGAGTGGGAGAAAAACATTAATGTGAGAAATATCTCCAGTGTGACCTGAGCAGGAACGAAACCTGCAACCCAGACTTGTGCCTTGACCGGGAATCCAACCCACAAGTGTATGCTCAGCTGGACAAGCACTCACACTGGTCTTATTTCGAACCTGTAAAATAGACTTATTTTGAATCTGTAAATTTTCTTCAACTTAGCTGTTATATACCTAAATATTAGTTATTCATATATAGGCATTCCCCATAAGTATTAACTTACGTGGAATAAGTGGAACACTTCACACAGAAAATCGGTAAAACGCCCTCTGGAGGCTAAGTCAGCTGCTTTCGGATATGTCCTTTTCTAAATTTCAACTATTCTTACTGGGTCTCGGATTTGTATAATTTCTCTTAATCCAATGATATATTTATATCAGCTGTTTATCAGTTAAAAAATCTTCCTTCGTATAGATTTTGGTTCAATGAGTTAAAACCAGTGAATCAGAGCACGTGGAGTGTGTCTGTATAAAGCAAGAGTCACAGTGGGACATAATGTGTGGATTCCCCTTTCAGAATGCTTACCATTTGCTTGAGGAAACAGTTCATATAATAAGTAATGGAGGTAAAACCTGGTAACTTTTTCAATGACTTCTTTGTACTACTCAGAATTTAAAGTGTGTCATCCCAAAGTAAGCTTTAGAATTGGACCTACTCCTGGTGGGATGTGTGCCCAATCTAATGCCTGCCGCCGCCTTCCCAACGCCCTGCCCCCGCCCCTGCCCCCACCCCTCCCCCATCGTGAATTGCAAATGCCGTGCCCTGCAGGAAAATTGAGCTCCACAAGCTTGTTCCTTCAGATAGAAGAGGGTCAGGAAGGCCCAGGCAAACTTAATGGGGGATGAGATGACTTATTTAGAAGGGGGGGCAGTGGAGTGCTCAACTCCAAGTTTCTGCAACAGCTTACTTACGAGCAGGAGGAGGAGGGGAGAGTGATGCTGGTAAAACACCTCAGCAACACTGGGAATCAGAAGATGGTGGAACAGCATCTATAAACTGCGGAGAGAGAGGGATTCGCAGATCAAAAACTGCATACCTACTTAAAAATGTCAGGGCAAGAAACAAGACCGTTTTGAAAATGCAGGGAATAAATACCAGGTGTGTACCTCAGATGCTAAAGAATCTACTTCAGCTGAAGGATAGCGTAGTTCTGAAGAAAAAGCAGCACATCTGTACAGTTAATCAAGATCTGTGTTCTGCTTGTGTGTCCCTTTCTACCTTGTCCCGTCCCAAGCCATCCCCCAGACCCATCCCCCACACACTTGTTTACTGTCATTTCGGTGGATTTTTAGGAAGGGGCTGACGTAAACGCATGCGCTCAGTCTAACATCTTGATTTAGGAAATCTGTTTTTGAATCACTGTACTTCTTACCACAAAGGGTTGTTATGGAAAGCTGTTGGTCTTATTGCAAGCAAAGAAACCAGCTGTGGCAGAGTTATACTGGAAAGGGGGTTCGCCGGCAGGGTCTGGGGCGGCTCAGAGGACGCCCGGGAAGGCTGGAAGAAGCAGGCTAGTCGACTGGCTTGAACTGTACGAAACTTCGCAGTGACAGCACTGCATCTTCATTTAGAAGTAAATTGCCTTTTTCTTCTCTTTTCAAATGTAGGTTATATATCTGGGGAGAACTCCAGAAGAAGCGTATAGAATATTAATGTTTGGAGATACATCCTATATTCCTTTCAGGTAAATATAAGAATGATATGGTAGATTGATTTAATCAGGCCCTTGTCAGAAATATCTTGATGCAATTGTTTCTAAAAAAGGAAGACTTGGTAAATAGTCATCCGAGGGTGGGTATAAATAAAACTATAGATATAGGTTACTCAGCAGTAACACTACTGATATTTTGTTGTGGAGGCTGTCTTCTGTGTTGTAGGGTATTTAGCAGCATCGCTAGCTTTTGCCCCCAAGATGCCAGCGACGCCTGCATCTCACAACAATTATCAAAACTAAAAATGCCTCCTGACATTTCCAGGTGTTTCTGGAGGTGGTGGTGGTGGTGGTGCTAAATTGCTCCTGCCTGAGAACCACTCCCCTTGTTGGAATAATTGGATGAGAATCCTGGACTGTGGTACTCAAAACTCCCACAGAGGAGTTTCATTCCTGGGGAGTTCTAAAATAAAGTTTCCTACTCGTCCGGAGTTAATTTCTTGGGGTAAAAATCAACCCTGTTTTCCCAGGGACACTGCTAGCATAGATAGTGGATTTGCTAGTGTAACACCACTACTAGAAAAACCAAATAGCTGTGTCATGGAGGTGGTAGATATGTAATGTCTTACACAAAGGGAGGAGTCCTCATTTCCTTCTTAGACTTACCATATGATTGTGTCAAGACATTAAAAAAAAACCCTAACTTTACCTTTAAATCAAATTAAGTTATAAAAGTTTCTCTGTTTACTAAAATACTTAGCTGTATAATCTAAATATATGGTGCTAAATAGGTAATAAATAGGTGCCATGATTTTACTTGTGCATGCTGTATGGATAATTTCAACCACTCACAAATTAGTACGTTTAGCATTGTTGTCTATACCACAAATGCCTGATTTTGAAGGTATGGTCTTCCCTTTAAAATGAAAGGTTCTAAACCTGACCTAATGGTGGATAAGCTTTGGATGAGTCTCCCTAACTTTAGGCAGAATCTCTTCTTTAAATGAATAACTTTGTAGAGACCATCTATGGACTTAACTCCATGAAAGAGAGATTTGTTAGGACAGTTGCAGACTGTGAGAACAGTTACGTGTTGCACTCAAGACCGTGTGTTAGTGATTTTGCAGACTAGAAGGATTGCTTTGAACCCAGTATGGTCCCCTTTGCTCCTGGCCCGTGGATCATCTTAAGTATTCTGTATTCGAGTGGGTAGGAAGCGATGAATGTTATTTTCTAAGCTGGAGAGTGCCTCGTTTGTCCTCTCAGCCTAAAATATGACAACCACCATGTACTTTCTTGAGGAAAAGTGATTATATTTTTGGTCCCTGAGTGACAGGTACATTGACAATGATAATTTTGTTCTACAGAACTCTTCTTTGTTCTTTTTAAACTGTGCGTCTTATTTTATTTTTAGAGATGGGGAAGAAGGGAGAAAGAGGGGGAGAGAAACATGAAAGTGTGGTTGCCTCTTGCGTGCCATGCCCCACACTGGGGACCTGGTCCACAACCCAGGCATGTGCCCTGCTGACTGGGGATGGAACCGGCAACCCTTTGGTTCTCAGGCCAGCACTCAATCCAGTGAGCCACACCAGCCAGGGCTCTTTATCCTTTATAATGCTAATTCTTTATAATAGTGCACTTTTCAAGCTTATAACAATGGTCTGAAATATGAATAAGCCCATGTTTCACTTACCCAAGTGAGGATCCAAGAAACACTGTTGATGTAAAAGAAGTTGTATGTTCATTTAAATATGGGGGCCAAAAATGGAATAAATATTGCTTGCTGCTATCCTGTGTTTAAAATGCAGGTCGGTTGCTTCTCGTCTCAGGAGTAACTAATAAACAGGACTTAGCTAGAAACAGTTCAGGGTTGTGAAATTTGAATCTCTTCAGTCATAGGTGCCAGGCATTTGATTTATCTAAATCATTGTTTCTCATTGTGGGGCCTGTGACCTTGAGCTAGACTATGGACTTGTTACTAGCTTGTGATGGGATCAAGTACAGGAATTGAGAGTAAAGGTTTAGAGGCTTTTGTAGTAATTTAATAGAGGATGTTTATGTCTGGAATCAATAGAAGAACTTGGACTTATACCTTATTTTTTTTATTTCCATTTTCTAGTAATTCATTTTTATTTTCAAAGATAAGATTATTGCATTATCATGTGTATGTAATAGTATAACGTTGTATTTTATATTGTATTTTACAAAAGTATCAGTCTGTAACATTAAAAAGTTTAGTGCTTCACCCTCTTTTGTTATTCTATAGAACTTACTTCTTAGATAAAGCCTGATAATATTTGGAAAAGAAATTGCATTATAATAGCCTCTTGTCCTTCCGCTTCAAATTCATAGGATATAACTGCTAACAAAGCATGTTAACAAGGGATCATGCAAGGAGAGCATTCATTCACAGTCAGCAACTTTTATGCTCCATAGCAATATCTAATTCAACTGAGATGCAATTCTTCAACCACTGAGTTTACATCAGTGTATGATTTCTTTTTTTAATTACGTTCAATTGCAGTTTAATTTCAGTGTTTTGTATTTGTTTTAGTTGTACAGCATAGTAGTTAGACAGTCACAGTCTTTACAAAGTGGTTCCCCTGATATTTCGCGTACCCACCTGGCACCATATATAGTTATTACAATATTATTGTGTACAGTATATGATTTCTTAATGAATTATTAGCTGTTTCTCTGCTTGTCTAAATGAAAAAATAGTATAAAATACAGTTCAATATTTTCTTTTGTTACATTAGGATTATTATTATAAGAGGATATAGTTCCATTCTTTGACCTGCCTTGAGTACTCTTGCTTCTTAGTTGATTTTTTTTTTTTTTTTTTTTTGTGGCGGGGCTGGTCTCTGCTCTCTTCATTTTAGAGGTGGTGTTGCATAGTTGCTAGTAGCTTGGCTGTTGACATTCAACAGATGGGAGGGTGACACTCAGCCCTGCTGGTAGTATCTCTGTGGTTCTCACAAAAGTGAGCCTTGGTCTCCTTGTCTGTCCGTGGGAATGACAGCTGTTTGTCCCTAATGGGGTTGTTAGGATTAAGTAACATCCTACATATAATAAAAAACACTTGGCATAGTGTCTGGGCCTTAGTTAACATTTGCTTTATACTCATATTTTTCTTTTTTTAGATGTATAACTACATATAATTTTTTTAAATCACTAATCTGGTGTACATAACCCAGTAGACTTTTACTTGTGCATATGCAACTACCATCCAGTTCAAGGTACAGAGCATTGCTGGCGTCCTGCCCATGCCCTGCAGCACCCCCGTGACAGTCAGTAACCCCCTTCAAGCTAGGACTCCTGCCACCATCGGTTAGTTTGCCTTGCCTTTGTGTGTTACACAAACGGAATCATACAGTATGCATTTTGGAGAGTTGGGATCCAGCTTTTTAAACACCAACTGTGAGGTTTATCCATGTTGTGACAGGTATCAGTACTTTTTAAAAAAATTACTTTTATAGCATTCCTTCTATGCCTATGTCACTATTTCACTATTTATTTGCCCGTTGTCATTTTGATGGGCAACAGGTGATTTGCATTTCTGGGCTAGTATGAATACAGTCTCATGTGAAAACTGTTATTCTTAAAAACTAGTATTTGTCATCGTTTTGCAGTCTCTAAGCAAACCTCCTTGACTGATTCTCATCCCATTTTCTCAGTTTGTTAAATGATCACAGTGCCAAGCCCCCTCTTCCTGCAGAGGCTTTACTCCCAAAGTCATAGTTGCTACTCTGCTGTTTGGAAGAGGCCTGATTGCTTGGGTGGGAGGAAGGAGGTGTTAATGAAATAAACTTGAGTGAGTAAAGGAAGATTTTTGTTGTCTATTCAGGTAGTGTGACAGATGAGGCAGAACTATAAGCCAACCGCATATTAAAGCTCGTGTGTGATTATTACTGACTAGAGTAGGGTTTGGCCCACAGTTCTCCAAAAATTTACATTGAATGCACGTATTAAGTTCTCACAGAGATTGAATCAACATGCCATAACCTGATTGGAAAAGAATGATCAGTTGGTTAAGAAGATAATCCTAGCTAGCTGAGGAGAGATGGCTAAAAACATTGGGATGTAAGTTGAGAATTCAACTTACTTCCACTGATAATTTTGATTTTAATTACTCTTAAAGTACTTCATTTTCTTAACTTAGCTTCTCTTTCTAAAAATGTTCTTTATTTCATGAAACAAGTATTTGTGTTCATTTTATAGGCCAGTGGTTCTTAAACTGAACGTATGTAACCATCACCTGCTAGAACGAAAGTGACCAGGCCCCACCCCTAGGGCCTCTGACTCAGCAGGTCTGGGGTGGAGCCTGAGAACCCGTGTTTCTCTCGGCCGGGTTGATGCTGATGTCGCTGGTTCAGGGACCCCACTCAGAATCACTGCTGCAGGTCATGTTGTTTTTCTCCTTCCTGAATATTGTCAACAAGCTATTGATGATATACATAGAGAGAGACTTTTCCTGGTTTTTAGAGGAGTAGCATTTTAATTCAGAAGCTTACAAAGCAAAAATGACATGCTGTAAGACCTCATGTGCAAGCTGCATGAAGGCCAACATACATCACAGCTCAGTAATTCTAGCCATTTCAGGCAGTAACATCTAAAACTGTTTAAGCTGAGATGGTGCCCTTACTTTTCCTCATTTTTAGTTTCACGTTGCTGTAATCATCTACATTCTTAAGATTTGTGAAAGAAATAAGTTGTTTTTCCATTTGGAACTTAAAAAATGTTTTTATTGCATTTATTGGGATTACATTGGTCAATAAAATTACATGGGATTCAAATGTATAATTTTATTTTGTTTCATCTTCATTTCTCTTTTTTAAATACTTTATTGTTGTTCTATAGGAATTAAAACTTTTCGGGTAAGATTACAATATGAAAACCCAACCAGGGCAGGCAGTCGTTAGCTCCAATAGCTGCCCTGTTCCTAGGGGCAAATAATTACCATTCAGATAGGTGCAGTTGTTTGGCATGTCTAGAAGGAGCATAATGATATTAATTTTTATCTTATTTAATTCCAAAAACTTTCACTTTGTAACGGCTTAAGGTAGTCAAAAAGGAGAAGCAGGCGGGAGTGGAGGAGGCCTTAATTTTCACTGCTACCAAGAGATGTCTAGTAAGATTATCGATCATTGTTGGGCAGAGCTGTCTTCAGACTAACTCAAGCACTTTCTAAGAGTAGAGTGATTCCACTAAGGGTCATCAATGCCTTATTTCCTGTGGTTTTATCAGTACTGTTGTCCTTTAGGGATCAAAAAGAAGTTATCCAAGTTAAACTCTTGCAAGTTGCAAAAGCATAATGAGAGGAGAAAAATACCTTTTAGCTTGCACATAGTATTTCAAATAGTACCTTTTTTTGTCTTGTTTGAATGGAGGTATATACAGCCACATACACACAGATACATGTACGTATGCACAGAATCAAAAAGCAGTTTTTCCTGGTAACAGTTGGGTAGGATTTTTGTTCCAGTAGGAAGAAAAATCAGATGCCTTGCCCTTTGGGCACAGGGGTCCACATTATTGATTAATAATTCTTGAAATTAGGCCATCAAAGCCAAAAATGATCGAGAGAGATCATTTACAATTCCAAGTGGTTATTATTGATCCACATCTACAAAAAAATATCTACTGGGGTAGGTAGAAATGGCAGTAAAATTTATAACAATGCTTACGTTTTATTTAAAAACCAAACAGCAAGAATTTTTTTTCTTTTTCTGAGACTTCCTCCAAGTACATTTGATTTTAAGTTCTAGTCAGCTTTGTTTTGAGGTCAGCGTACTGCAGAAAATTAACCGAGCTATGTATTTCTATACTTTTGGGATTTCAGAGATGCTGCCTATGGGAGCTGCAGTTTCTTCATTACACTTCTCGACTGTTTTCATGCAGTGAAGAAGGTAAGTGACGGACAGGGTGCAGCTCCTGATGTGTCGGAGAGCTAAAGTACAGTTCAAGGCAGACGGGGCTTCTTCCCCAGAGGTCTTCCAAGATGTGCATGATGTCAGGGGTATCCCATATACCTATTAACTTAGAATGACACCACACTGGAAAACAGTTTATTCTGAATTTGAGAGCTGCCCTGCATGAGTGGGAAAAAAGCCACTTGAACAGTAGGGGACAAACAGGTATAATTAGGCTCTCAATTCAGAATTGATTTTGAGTGTGTTGTGATTTCAGAGAAAAATAGAAAGGCAGTACATTACTGATGTCCAAGTTCTCTTTGATTTACGTATTTGTGGGTCTGATTCCCACCAATCCTATTTACATTTTTATCACGCACTGTCAGACACTTCATTTTTGTGTCTTCAAGCCTTCCATTTCTAATTCAGCAGAATTTGAACAGCCCATCAGCTTGTTACTAGGTTTTATATAAAACTAAGTAGGTCACTACTGCTTTGTCAAAGTTAGTTCTTTATGCCCCAATCAGGGATCGAATCTGCAGCCTTTTGGTGTGTGGGAGTGAGCCAGTCAGTCAAAGCTCAAAGCTATTTTATTTTATGTTGTTATATTTTAAAGATTTCATTATTTATTCATATTTAGAGAGAGAGGAAGGGAGGAAGAAAGAGAGGGAGAGAAACATCGATGGGTTGTTTCTTGTACACCCTTAGCTGGGGACCTACCCTATAACCCAGGCAGGTGCCCTGACTAGGAATCCAACTGGTGACCTTTGGGTTTGTGGCACGATGCCCAACCAACTGAGCCACACCAGCCAGGACTCACAGCTGTTTTAAACTAATGCCTATGTTTCATAACCAGGGCGCTTGCTTTCTTTGACTCCAGGGAACACCCTTTATATGACATTCCAAATGAACAGGGTCCCCTGAATTATGTAACACAGCAGACTTGTTTATAATGCTCCCTTGGATGTATATTTTGGGTGTCAGGGCAGGATAAGAAACCAGAATGATAAATCAGTGGCCCATGGATCAACAAGTCTTCAACAGTATCTCAAGTTTTTATTTGATTTGTATTTTTAGAGGCAAAAGGAACCCAGGTTTGCTTTCATGTGTACTGGAATGTGGTGGCTGTCTAAGAATTTTGACAGAAATTTTGTGGATTAAAACGAGAGGACTGAGTATACAAATTTAGGGATTGATTAATATCTTTTTCCCCCTGTATCATATATCAAGGTATGGAATTTAATTCTTTTGGGTGTGAGTCCAGTGACTCTGTGGTGTGTCGAGCTGCCCAGGGTGGCTGCCAGAGGCAGTGAGGCAGCTCCATCAGGCGCTCAGTTCAGGGAGGTGGTGGGCTCCGCCAGTGAGGGGCAGCGGGTGTAAATCATCCCTTCTGATTGCAGTTATAATCCTTGTCAAATAGACCCCAGGAAACTGCTAACATTGTCTGGCATATGGTCCTGACCTTAGGGCTCCCTTCCCTCAACTCCCACCACCTTTAAAAGAGTAGAAAGCCCTGGCTGGTGTAGCTCGGTGGATTGAGCACGGGCCTGTGAACCAAAGGATCGCAGTTCCATTCCCAGTCAGGGTACCTTCCTGGGTTGCAGGCCAGTTCCCAGCAGGGGACCCACGAGAGGCAACCATACATTGATGTTTCTCTCCCTGTCTCTTTCCCTTCTCTTCTAAAGATAAATAAATAAAAATTAAAAAAAAAAGAAGAGCAGAAGGACTTTGAGGGCCTTAGCTCCTTTGTTGTTGTTTTTGTTTTGTTTTTAAGCAGATCTACTTAGGAGCTAGAGGTCAAAGATTGCTCTTTTCACACTGTATTTAATTTTACTGAAGAGTCAGTAGCTTCTGATTTTCAATTTGTACATTAATTGTGACTGATTTAGAATATTGCATACCTGAAACATTTATAAATATAATTATGTCTCCATTTTAGTGCTATTTCTAATAGGATCTCATGAAATTCAAAGGAAAATAGAAACTTCTATAAACTATTTTATTGTAAGGAACATCTCTAGTCCAAATGTCATGGCATTGAGTATTTGGAATTCAAGGAAATAAAATTCATTGCGAATTTGGTCTTGGAATTAGAATATAAATAACTGTATTTCATAAAATGAGAACTTTGTGCTTGGTATTGTAACATTCATATTTTACATTTGTATTTCAGTAAGTGTTGAAAACCGGGTTTATAATTCACCCCTTTTGAACCAAGATTACCTTATTTTTCTTTTGTTTTTCTGTTTATTGCGGTAACATTAGTTAATAATGGCTACCTTGTTGCTCTAACAAGCGACAGCTCTAACTTACTCTCTGGCTCAGAGGATACTCAGAGGCCAGGGCTCGGCCTTGTCTCAGAAGTAGATCCTCGCTTATTGCACTTGGTGTGCTCTGCTCACTGCAACTCGGAGAAAAGGAAACTTAATATTTTCTTCTTATTGAAAGAAGAAATTTCTCAAATTTTTGAATTTCAGTGTTGATTTCTGGGCTGTCTTTAGTAGAGAGAACATCATTAATCTCTTAATCTAAGAAGAACTTGAAAGTGAAAAGATTTATGAACTTTGTGTGATTTTTGTCTAGGATAAACTAATCTTCTCTTTTCCCTATTATTTGCTGAGGGGCCATTGAGTTTGTGCATTATATTTGAAGCCTGAGTGGTGTTGATCTAGCAGATCAGTGGGATTACTTTGAAGGCTTGATTATTTAGCTCTACACAGCTAGGATGATTGTTAAAGAAAATAAAACATCAACTTTTATTAAAAGAAATGTTGTTGTAACTAATTTTCCAGATAATGGACACCTTTAAAAGATGTATCTATCCCACCTCTTGAAAACTATTCATGACACGTAATCTAAATATTATAATGCTCTTTCAAGGCTGCCTCCTGATGTGAGGAAGTTGGATGGGAAATTGTTCCTTACTTGCATCTTTGTTCTTAAAAGCTTTTCCTTTGGATTTTAGGCAATGCAGTATGGCTTCTTTAATTTCAACTCATTCAACCTTGATGAATATGAATACTATGAAGTAAGTTTTTAAGGATATTGTTTTTAATTCTTTTATTTGTTTTACTTATGGAAGTATTATTGTTTTTAAAAATATTGAATGATTTAGATGTGCATAGAGTAAAAAAGAAATCCATCCAGTCTTTATCCTCTTACTGCGCGCTCCATTCTCAGTGGGGAAGTCTGCCTTTGACGCAGCCTTCCACTCGGAATGACTGTGCTCCCGGGCTCTTTCCTTTAACGTTTAGTTCACATTGTTTTATTACTGATGACTTTTCCTATGCGTAGTGCTTAAATGAGATAATGTTTGTAAACCTCTTAGCATAGACTCTGGTGACCTGGATAAACTAGTCATCTAATTAACCCCTGGAAACTGTCTTTATCATAACCATTTGTATGAGGTCAGGACACTTCTGGTCGCAGGAAGTAAACATATATGGCTTAAATAAAAGGGAAGTTTATTGATTTCCTTGAGTAAAAAGGCCAAGATCAGGTATACCATCACACATGACCAGATCAGGTACTTGCACACTTACCAGGCACTGGGTTGAAGCTAACTTTGTCCCCAGGCCAGCCCTCAGTAGTGTAGAAGATAACCACCAGCAGCTTTGATTCACCTGTTCAGCAAACTCACCAGAAAAGAGCATTCGTGGCTCCGGTGGAAGATTCACAAAGTCCTCTCATTGGCCTAGCTTAGATCATATGACTTGCACGCAAGTAGGCATGTTTCTAGCAGGGATGGGGGAGAGAAGGGTAGATGGGTGTAGAATACACCGGTCATCCCAGGAGCTAAGGTGTTGGGGTCACCCTGTCAAGCCACACAAACCAATAAAGAAGAGAGTCTAGGCAGGTAAAACCACAGATGTCCTTGATACTTTTTAACACAGTGATTATTTTTGTTTTTTTGTTTTGTTTTTTAAGAAAGGTAATTTGATTCTACTGTTTATTCCACCCTTCAAATAGATAATGAATTAGATGCTTATGCTAATGGTCTTTTTTGGCCAAGAAAGCTTGTGGAATCTTATCTTTTCTTCTTACTACAGTTTTCTTGAGCAGACATCCTCACTAACACTAGAGTGATTTCACGGGCAGTACATTATGCAGCAGTGTCTTGAATCCTCACGTATCTCTTTTTTCTATTAAAAAAAGTTAATTTCTATTTTAAACTCTTAGGCATAACTGAACTATTTTATTGATGAGTAGGATTATTAGTTACAGTCAGTCATTACTGTGATGCACCAGAAAGATAAACCATATTCTGTGACTCATTAGGGCATACCTTATCACCCTGTCTTCACTTTCCTGTAATAGTGACACATTTCTAAAGTACAATATGTATTTAACCACCATATTACACTGTTGACTGTAACTTAATTATTAACGCCATTTTTTGGTGCTTGTCCTTATGAAGTTAAATATTTAAAATAAAATACACTTCTTTTTTATGTAAGCAAAACTGCTAAAAACACCACTTCTTGTGCCTTCGGGTGTTGCACAGTGGTGCCTCTGTGTCACTAAGGAGTGATGCCTGCGCTACCCTGCTTCTCTCTCACTAGTGCAGAAATTCTGGTGTGGACCGGAAGTAGCAGTGCCACCCAAAAGGGTTGTTTGCTTGCAGAGAAATTGCACTGAAATGCAAGGCAAACGTTTAGGGGGCTGCAGACATGGGTAGCGCACAGACTGTTTTTTAGCTCCACAGTGTATTTAGAAATTTTATATTACTGTGTCATTGATTCCATGGTGCCCGTTCCCCCCCGCCCCCCATGTTAACGTCTCAGAATTCAGGATGCACCTGCAAGTCAAATGAAATGAATTTGAATCTGAAGTCTAACTTCAGATTTTTGGTTTCACTTCCAAAATCAGAATACCTTGCAACACTTGTCCTCATTCCTGGTCAGACATTGTAGCATGGACCGGGGGCTTACCAGTTCTTTGTGACAATGAAGTAAATTGGTTTTGGTTACCTGCCCAGCCTTAGACCAAGCAGCCCTTGGTTTATGTCCTCGTTCTTCCTAGGTATACATGTACGTACCACATTTGCAAAGCTAATTGATCTTCAGCGTTAGTGCTCTTCTTCTTGACTCGGAAGAGCCTCCTCCTTCCTGCCCAAGTCTTTGTGTAACTGTTTCTATTTTTTCATTTGAACTATATTTATCTTATAATAATTATTATGGTACTTTAACCCAAAGGAGTTAAATAAGAGGAAGTAAAGTTTTTAAATTGCAGTTTATTTTTTAGGCACCTACTGTGATCTCCGTATATTTATAATTTCAAATTTCCTGGTGGTTTAGTGAAAATTTTTCTGTGACCATCTTATTGAATGGCTAGCAAGATGGAAAGATGTCTTTCTAAAAATGAAAAGTAAATATTCAGAGGCCAGGAGTTTAACTAGGTAGTTTTTTTCTCCTTTGAGTTTAGATTGCTCATATTGAAGGAAGTTTCCAGATCCCTCATAATGGAAAAGTTTGCCTTTTATTAATTAGCAGCAGCCGTATGAGAATTTACTTGGATAAAACAGCCAAAGCACATAGGTATATTTGGGAGCAGCAGTCGTTGGCTCTGTTTTCCAAAGACCGAGTATCCCAGCAAAGAAACGCTTGTAAAAGAAAGTGATTAGGACCAGGAAATGCGAACTAACTTTTCCCTGGGAACATTCGTAGCAGGCTAAATCTTAGTTTCCTGTCTCGTGGTCATTCATAGACAGCTTTCTTACTACAGCAAATGGATTTGAAGTTCTGCAGAAACTCTGAATTGAGAAGAGGTATGGAAAGAAGAGTAAGAATAAAAATGATTTGTGCTGGTCTTCTCTTTGCAGAAAGCAGAAAATGGAGATTTAAATTGGATAATACCAGGCCGATTTATTGCCTTCTGTGGACCTCATTCAAGAACGAGACTTGAAAGTGGTATGGAAAAATATGGGATTAATATAGTTTTTTTTATTGAAAGTATCTATCCTGTATCCCTCCCTTGCCCCCCCCCCCAAAAAAAAAGGCCTAAGAGTTAAATTAAGCTTGATGGTCTTAATTATTTAAGTGTACATGATCACTTCAGTACATTGTTCTGCCTGGATTTTAACTTTTTTAATTTATCTTTTTACAGTTATAATCAAGTTGGTATTTAATCCCCAGTCTAGACACTGTTTCTACACAATTACAGGTGAAATTGTTATCCATTATTTTCTTTCTGCATTTTAGAATATTTGGTAATTTCTTTGTGTAGGTTATCACCAACATTCTCCAGAGGCTTACATTCCCTATTTCAAGAATCACAACGTTACTACCATTATTCGTCTGAATAAAAGGATGTATAATGCCAAACACTTTACAAATGCTGGTTTTGATCACTATGATCTATTCTTTGCGGATGGCAGCACCCCTACTGATACGATTGTCAAAGAATTTCTGGATGTTTGTGAAAGTGCCGAGGGTGCCATTGCAGTACATTGTAAAGGTATGTTTCTAGGGTTGGTTAAAGAATGGTGGACAGCTCTAGCTGGGTAGCTCAGTTGATTGGAGCATCGTTTTATACATCAAAAGGTTGTGGGTTTAATTTCTGACCAGGGTATGTAGCTAGGTTTTTGTTCTATCCCCACTTGGGACATGTAAGGGAGGCAACCGATCGATGTTTCTCTCTCTCCACCCCCTCACCTCCCTCCCTGTCTCCCTCTTCCTGTCTCCATCTGTCTAAAATCAATAAACATATTCTCAGGTGAGTATTAAGGAGAAAAAGAATGGTGGACACATGTGTATATGTGTGGAAACACCATACTCGTTTAGATTATATACCAGGACACCTTATGCCTTTGTTTTCAGAGTACCTTTTTTATCTATTGTAAATTACTTTTTTTCTTAAAACCTCTTTATTGTGGTGTGATTGATATAAAAAAGCTGTACATATAAAAAATGTTTCTAAAACTCTAATTTCATATGAGAAGTATAGTAAATTACATTGTATTTGTTTATAGGTAACTATGGAAGCTTATCACATTGGAATGTATTCATTTACTTATCAAATATCTATTCAGTGCCTACTGTTTGGATATGTTGATGAACAAAGCAGACTTTAAGAGCTTGTCTTCGTAGAGTTTATGTTTTAACAAATTGCTGTTTTTAGCTACTAGAACAGTGCCCAGCATTTAATACATTATAAGAATGCATGAGGGTTTATTTAACTTTTCTTCTTAGTTGATTCTAAAGACAAGGAATATATTTTCCATATATTAAGAAAAATCCAACTTAGGAACAAAAACCCAGCAAATCTGGAGAATAGCTAAAATCTAATCTCTAGAGTTACGACATTATAACAGTTTTCAACCTTTTTCATCTCATGGCTTACATAAACTACTAAAATTCTGTGGCACATCAAAACAATATATATTTTTTGCTGACCTGACAAAAATAGGTATAATTTTGATTCATTCATACCAGACAGTTATTGCTGTGTTGGCTGTTGTCTTTTTTGTGTGTGTGTGTGACAATCCAAGGGAAGAAAGGTCAGTGTCCCTGACTAAATAGTCAGGTCTATTTCATGTTCTAAAAATTCTTGGGGTACACTGGTTTGAAATTGCTACATTATAAGATTTAAATGTCCAGCCTTCTCCAAAAAAAAAAATCACAAGATATTGAAAAAAATAGGAAAGTAGAACTTATTCAAAGGGAGAAAAAAACGAATGAACAGAAACTTTCCCCGAGAAAAACCAAATGGTGCATTTACTAGACAAAGATACTAAAACAGCTGTCTTCAGGGTTCTCAAAGAACTAAAAGAAAATGTGAACAAATCAAGAGAACAATGAAGAACAAAATGGAAATATCAACATAGCGATAGTAAACTAAAAGGAACCAAAAAGAAACTCTGAAACTGAAATGTACGGTAACTGAAAGGAAATACTCACTAATGAAATTCAACAGCAGACATAAGCAGGCAAAAGAAGAATCAGCAAACATCACGATACAATAATTGAAATGATCAAATCTGAAGAATTGAAAGAAAAAAGATTGAAAAGTGAAAAGGGACCTGGAATATCATAAAGAGGACCAATCTGTGGATTGTGGGAGTCCCAAAGGGCAAAGTGAGAGGAAGGAGCAGAAAGTTTATTTGAAGAAATAATTACTGAAAGTTCCCAAATTTGAAGACGGACATGAATGTAAACATCTGTGTTACGTAGTGAACTCCAAGCAGGATAAACTGTGAGAGCCACACCCAGATGCATTATAATCAGTCAATCTGAAGTCAAGAGACAGAAGAGAACCTTGAAAGCAATAAGAGAGAATCAGCTTATTACATACAAGGGACCCCAGGAAGGTTGTCAGTAGATTTGCCATTGGAAACCTTAGAGGTCAGAAAGCAGTTAATTGATACCTTCAAAGTGTTGAATAAAGAACATGTCAACCACAAATTACACACCTGGCTAAACTTTTCCTTAAAAATGGGGTCAAATTAAGACATTCCCAGATAACTAAAAGGGAATTTGCTACCACTGGGCCTGCCCTGCAAGAAATGCTAAAGGCTGAACGAAAGCACAGTAGCTGGTTACTCAAAGCTTTATGAGAAAATAAAGATCTCTGGCAAGTAAATACATTGGACAATTATAAAGGCTAATATTATTGTTACTTAAGCTGTAAACTTGAATCAAAAGATGATACTGGAAGAATGGCCTAAAAAGTAAAAGAGACTTGTCCTAGCCAGGGGGCTCAGTTGGAGCGTCATCCTGTGCGCCCAAATGCTTCAGGTTCAATTCCATTAGCTAGGGCATATTGCTAGGTTGTGGTTTGACTGGCATTCGATACTTGTTTTGGGAAGAAAACTGATGACAGTGTGAAGATTGGGTTACCAAGTGAACAGGGAGTTTCATTAAGAAGTGTATTTGTTTGGGGTACAAAGCAGAAGACCACAGACAGGTGTTTCGAACAACAGGAATTTATTTTCTCAGAGCTTTGTAAGCTAGAAATCCAAGAACAAAGTGCTGATGGGATTGGTTCCTGGAGAGGCCTCTTCTTGTAAGAACACTAATTCTATTGGGTTAAATGCCCTCCATGACCTTATTCAACTTTAATTACCTTCATAAAGTCCTTTTTCCAGAGACTCTCATGGTGGGAGACAGGAGTTCAACATACAAGTTTGGAGGGCATATAATTTCTTCCATAACATTCTGTTCTCTGGCCACCCAGTATTCATGTCCTCACATGTAAAATACAGGGTCGGGCAGAAGTAGTTTACAGTTGTCATATGGAAAGCAATACAGTAACAAATAAATAATATTACAAAAATAAACTCTATTTCATGTACTCACAACTCCAAACCTACTTTTGCCCCACCCTGTACATTTTACCCCATCCCAACAGCCCCCAAATTATTAACCCACTCCAGTGTCAGTCCAAGTTCAAAGTCCATTTACATATCATCCAAATCAGATATGGGTGACAGACACTTCACGTACAGTGTGTCCTGAGGCAGAATTCCAATCAAGCTTTGAAACTGAAAACAGACAAACTATGTGCTTCCAAAATACAGTGGTGGGACAGGCGGCAGAACTACACCCCCACTTTGAATGGGAGGAGTTGGAAACAAGGAAGTGGTATCAGGTCCAAGCAAGTCCAGCCTAGCAGGGTAAATGCCATGGAATCTTCAGGCTCAAGAATCATGCCCTTTGGCTCCATTATCTGTTCTGCAGGCCTGCAGGGGAGGCAGTTCCATCTCCTTGGCCCCAGGCGGTGGCCTTGTCCCTGAGTCACAGACTGAGGTACCCTGATCCACTGAAACCACAGGCATTCCCATCCAAGGAGTAGACACAGCTGTGCCCCCAGGTGCCTGTGCTTGTGGTGGCAGCATGGCCTTGCCAGTCTGTCACTCACAGGGTCATGCGTCCGTTCTCTTGGAGGATGAGACATGTTTATAGCCAGAGATCTCTCGTCCAGTCCTTTCACCCGGAAATCTGAAAGCCCCCCTTTATTTCATCCCGTGGCTGTCCCTTTTTAGTCCAAACTGACCACATCTGGTGGGGCAATTCCATCACTGTTTTTGGCTTCTGGTGATTGAATCCATGGGTAATATCTTTATAGAAGTGCTTGTTCAATCATACCCTTGGTATTGTCTTCAAAACATGCTTTCATTTTTAAAGTGTTTAGTTTCTGATTCCTTTTTGGTTAAAAATCTCCTCTTAAATTCATCTCATCTCATATTTTACTGTGTCAGTAAGAAGAATCCAGGCTGCACCTTCAGCACTTTGCTTGCAGATCTCCTTTGCTCAATATCCAAGGTCGTCTCTCACAGTGTTTTCCACCAAGCACAAGTATGCAATTCAGCCAGGTTTTTTTTGCCACTTTCTAAGAAGGAGCGCCTACTTCTAGTTTCCAATAATATATCCTTCAGTTCCACCTGTGTCTGCTCCAGAATCAGTGCTGACGTCCATATTCCTGCCAACAGTTTCTTCAAGGCAATCTAGGGTTGTTTTCTTACATGGGCCTTAAAACTCTTGCAGCTTTTACAATTCTGATTCCAAAGCCACTTGTGCACTTTTATGTGTTGTTACAGTCATGGTACCACGATCTATATTGGTGAGGGTTTTCCAGAGAAACAGAACCAATAGGGTGTGTATTAAATTATATATAGAACAATATTATAAGGAATTGACTCACCCAGATATGAAGGCTGGAGAGTACAAAATCGGCAGTGTGGGCTGGGAGGGTGCAGACCCAAAAGAGTCTGTGGTGCCACTGAAGTCGAAGGCCATCCGCTACAGAATTCTTTCTAGTTTGGGGGATCTTTTTGTTCTGTTTAGACCTTCAACGGATTAAATGAGACCCACCCACATGGATGGTAATGTACTTACTCAAAAGTCCACTCAAGTGCACCTGCGAGGTTGACACATAAAATTAGCAACACAGGAAGTAATGATAGTAGTTTAGGTGAGAGTAGAGGAAGACAGCAGAAATTGAGTAAAAAGAAAAACTGCGTGTGAAAATGAGCATAAAAGTAGAGTAGAAAAAATGGTTGGGTAAGGGGAAAGTTTTGCAAGATGTTAAGCCTGTGTTTTTGGAAACATGATTTTACCATTAACAGTAAACCCAGAGTAGAAAACACTGCACTTAACTGAGAATTGTCACTTATAAAGTGACTTTCAATCTTGGCGATTCCTAGAATCATCTGGGCGGGGGGGTGGTTAGAACTGTCTCTGTCCAGGCTGCATTGCATACCAATTGAATCAGAATTCTGGAGGTGAGACCATATTTTTATAAAACTCTACAAGTGATTGCAACGTGCATCCAAATTTGAGAACCACTGTGAGGTAAGCAGGATCACGGTAAGCCTTTTGAAACAATCGTACCTGTCCAACGTAATTCTGGAGGACACGAGACCAGGTCTCACCAGACTGTTTCTTTTCCTAGCCGGCCTTGGGCGGACGGGCACTCTGATAGCCTGCTACATCATGAAGCATTACAGGATGACCGCGGCCGAGACCATCGCCTGGATCAGGATCTGTAGGCCTGGCTCAGTGATCGGGCCTCAGCAACAATTTTTGGTGATGTGAGTAGATGGAGAGCTTTTGTAATTCCTCAGAGAACGCTTGGGTCTGGAAAATAGTTGGAAGTAGTTTTTCTTAGTCTTCAGTAACAACAGATAGTCTAGTAGGAGAAAGATGATTGTATCTTTTCTGGCAAGGTGTATTTTGATGTTATTTAAATGCTCTAACAGGAAACAGTCAAGCCTCTGGTTGGAAGGTGACTATTTTCGCCAAAAGTTAAGGGGTCAGGAGAATGGAAAACACAAAGCAGCTGTCTCAAAACTCCTCTTGGCTGTTGATGACATTTCAATCAATGGTGTCGAGAATCAAGACAAGCAAGAGCCCGAACTGGTAATTGCACCATCCCCATCTCTCTGTTGTCATTGCTTTAACTGCTGTTGAGACTCCTGTAGGACATGGGGGAAACTGGAGATAAAAGTAATAAAGCACATTTTGGGGGATTATTGTCACATTTTTTATACTTATAGCCTGTGTCAGAACTTTTTACCCAAATAGTTAGAACAAGGTTATGTGCCTGTTAAACTGAAGTTCTTTTTTGTTCACTAGTCACTGGTGGGAGAGGTATGTGAAGGAAGCTCTTTAGATGGACCTAGTGACACCCCCTCCCTGCCTGACACTTTTTCCCATTTCATGACAGCTGATTTAGGGAACCAGTTGTTCTTAAGCAGAGAACTTTAGAGAACCTAGAGTTTAGGGGGTAGCTATGCTATTAAGTGGTGGTGAGTAGATGGTAAAATTTTAAAAAAGAATGTTTTCAATGTTGAAAACCCATTATACCTCTTCACAGTCTGTGCATTTTATAACAAGAGTGCTATTGTGTTCCAAGTCTGAAAGGTAACGTGTTCAGTTGTCTTGAAATGTGACCTGTAGCTTTTATTCTGAAAGCAACAGAATATTTTAGAGTTCATCTGAAAGTTGAAGTGTACATTTGCATGTGTTCCGTGGATGAATGTTGATGCTGTGTTTTACTTCATTAACAACGGCAACTTAAATCATTAGCTCAGTGTTCTTCTACTTGCACAGTACAGTGATGATGACGAAGTCAATGGAGTGACACAAGGTGATAGACTTCGGGCCCTGAAAAGCAGAAGACAATCCAAAGCAAACGCTGTTCCCCTCACGTGAGTTTGGTCTCCTTTGTGTGGGCAGTGCTGTTTAGTCTGTGCATATGGTCCTGTGTGAGCATGTTGTCCTGCACATTTCCCCCCACAGCCGCATGTCCATTATGCCACTTAGAAATGGCCACTGTCATTTTAAATCGAGGGGTGTTGCCCGAGAAGCCCCTGGCTATCCTGTGTCTCTGCTGTTCTGTCCTAGGCACATGGCCGGTGTACAGGAGAGCAGTGTTAGGACTGCCCTTTCTCGAGGCGTAATCTCTGTGTGGCCTTCTCAGAAGGGTGGACACCAGATGTAAACCGCAAAACAATAGATATGTCCATAATTACTTAAAATTGTAAATTTCTCTAAATTCCTTACTATATTAGAGGTAATTTCTTTTAATGGTAGAATTCAATCAGTAGTGATGTGGTGGCTTAATGTCATTGTATTACTCGAGGGCAACAAAAGATTAGACCATATTTATGTACGAATTTTTTTGTTTGAGGAATTACTTGTAAGTTTCAGAAGAAAGTTTAGCATGGGGATAGGACGTTTTGTAGTCAGTGAGGGTGTGCTTGTTCACTTGTACTGGCCTTGTGCGAGTGGTAGTTTGGATTCAAGCCCATGGAACATCCAGTATGGTTAAAAAAATGTAGAATCAAAAACTTGACCATCGTACTGTTTTCCTAGGGTATTCTTTAGTAGGTGCTCCCACTTTTGACACTGGATTTCTTACTTCCACTAACCTCCCTTATCACTGTGGATTATCAGATTTCTAGCCCCTTACCCTTTTTTGTATTGGAGATGGGTCATTTTTTCAGTAAGCATCTTGTAATAAGGTAAGGAGCTAATGATGTAATAAACACTCCTGACAGACAAGAGCAAGCATTGTTTTTAATCAAAAGTGTTTTCTTTACCAGTACCTCCTCATAATCTTAAATCCTAAAGTGGAATTACACCTGAGGCATGTGTTGTTGTGGGCCTCTGCCTTGGGAGGCTTGTAACAGATCCAAAGAAAAGAATCAAGTTTTCCATCATAAAGTGCCAGGTGAATGAAAGGCATCAAAGGCAGCATCGGTATTGCTGATAGGCATTACTTAAGCATTATCTTTGCAGTGGTGCTTCTATCAGCTAGAATGCTTTAAGACTGGTGTACTTTGTGCACTTTATTTAACTCCCAAGTGCAGTTTTGTTTTTAATTTGATCAAAAATGTGTATTTAACCCTGGCTGGTGTGGCTCAGTGGATTGAGTGCTGTCCTGCAAACCAAAGGGTCGCCAGTTCGACTCCCAGTCAGGGCACATGCCTAGGTTGCAGGCCAGGTCCCCAGTTGGGGATGTGTGAGAGGCAAACACTCATTGATGTTTCTCTCCCTCTCTTTGGTCTAAAAATAAATAAATCTTTCTTAAAGAAGTATATTTAAAGCCTTAATGATTATTTTTATTTAGAAACATTATAGTCCCTTCAGATAATTATTCTGAAGCCAATTCGAGACATGATGGAGGAGACAGGCAGTTCACAAAGCAGAGCTTCGCAGATTTTAGTTCATGTTTGAGTCTCCTGGGTGAGCTTGTTAAAATGCAGGTTGAGATCAATGGGTCTGGGGTACAGCTGGCTACCAGGTGTTGCAGATGCTGCTGGTCCAGGGACCACACTTAGTGTACCCTAGAAAATGGATAATTTTCTGAGTTACTTTTTCACTGTGCCCAGGTTTTTTGTTTTGTTTTTAAGAAGCAGCACCGTCAAGTTTATTTCTCAACAGTTTATTGCTTTCTGTTCAAAAGTCAAGTTGGGAGTCAAGAGATGGGAACTCTGCTTAGTCAAAAGTTTTTGTTAAATAAGACTTTTAAGAAATTTTCTTGTTGCTGAGTCTGCTACCTTGTGAATGTGTTTGTGTTTTCTAGAGTTCAAATCACTCTGCTGTTTTCTAGAAGAGTTGAGGCTATAAATGTCTCTCTCATAGCTGATAAGTTTGTGGTAATACAAAAGAAAACAGCCAAGGAAGACTACAATTCTAAATCTTGTTGGAAATGAGAAGGTGACACCAGATGCTGTCACATTCACCTTGGTGTTCGAGGTTCCTGGGGTGAGAGTGGAAGGTGTTTAGTGGAGGCTGAGTGAAAGTCACTGTCAGAGGCTGGAGGTGGCGGTCATTTGTTCAGTTGCGTAGCTAGACTCCTCCTTACCCCTAAAAGAAATGAAGGGCCCTGGCCCTTTGCTTTGAAGCACTCTTGATGTGAATTACAACCAAGTAAAATACTACAGTAAAAGTTTTTTTTTTTTTAATGTTACTAAAAAGGAACTATTTCAGGACCCCTTTGAATTGTAATCCTAAAAATAATAGAATAATCCCAAAACTGTCCTCCTTCCATGCACAGAGTTAAAAAACTTGTAGGCCACGCCTTGAAAGGAAAGGGCAGGATTGCTGACATTCTTCAGAGCTCTTAACTGTGTGTGCAGACCCTGGGGAGTTTTAGGTCAGTCCCGGCATATTCCCCTCTTTTTTGCAGCACTTTGCTTATCCTCTCTGCTTTTTGAAATCCTCTTTGCTATTAAAATCATCTCTGTTTTGCTCTTATTTGTAGCTCTTTGGACCCTAGTAAAGGAGGTCATTGGGAGATTTTCTTTCCCTCCCACGTCTTTGTTATTTTAGAAATAAGAGTCCCCTGAGAGCCGTTTCCGGCAGCAGTTTAGGTTGAGAAATCTAAATTCAGTTCCTGCCTCCTGGCTTTGACTCCTATTAGCGTGGGCAAGTTATTTTTCTTCTCTGTTGGTACTTAGGTCCAAGTAAAAATACTTGTAATAAGGAAAGTTAATGAAAAATATGTAAGTACTGGTTATTCTTAAAAGAAGGTTATAGTACATAAAATATCATTCCAGTTACTGGCTTCTACTTTATATCAGTATTTGGGGGAAATGAGTCATTAAAAATTGTACAGTAGCCATTTTTTTCCAAAGCCTGTCTGGTCCGAGTCCCATGGAAGCAGTTCATTACGTCCAGGCACCAGGACCTCGAAGTGCTTGCTCGTCAGGGGTGATGGCAAGGCCATTACGGTCTGTGTGTGCTCAGGCAGATTGGGTTGATTTTGTAACTTCATCTGTGATGCTGTCTTCCTGCACACTGGTCAGGTCTATGAGGTTTGTTATGGTTAAAGGGAATGATCCATGAAGAGGGGAAGCATATCCTACATGGGAATATGTAAAAATATAGGTATAATTGACAAGTCTTAAATCCTCCTTAACATTACGGTGTAGGTGGGTGTGTTTTCATAATTGGAAAATAATTCCTATGATGTGAGCTTTGGTACAGGAATAAATAAAAATCTATGATGTAGACACCTGAATGGCCATTCTGCCTTTAAGATAGCTGTTAAATCAGTAACCACAAATGAAAATTGGGATGGGTAGAGAGTTCTGTACTGTTCCATGGTCTCTTATTACATTCTCTGTGAATATTAAGCCCCTGTAATCCTAATATATAGTAGATTTAATTTTTTTTGATGGCAGGAGTAAATGAAAGTGTGGGTTAGATTCCATTTCGTGCCCATATAGGATGCCTGTGCCTGGCACATAGTGTTCAAGGGTTTAGATGACAAGGACAGTACTGCGGACGGCATAGCAGCCAAATCATTCATTCTGACTTGATCAGCCCAATACTTCGCACAGAGCTTTCCGCACTCAGTCACAGATGTGCCTGGGTGACTGTTTTGAATGTAGTAGTTGGAAGGAGTTACCACACTTCCAACTGTGAGGAAGGTTGCTGTCTTACTGCTAGAAGCCAGAGCAGTGGATTAGGAAACACCAAGCTGAAAGCCATTATTTGGTTGCCTGAGGAGAACGAGTGAGGAGAACAACTGAGGAAATACATACAGTACAGTAGACCCTCGAATAACGTTTTGTTAACACCGATGAGATGCTGTAGGAAATTAACTTTTGTTAATCTCATTGTCCTATGATAAAATTGGTTTCGTTATTATTGTTTTGCATATAAAGTTGCAGAACCATCAATGATAAGTGAGGACTTACTATATTAATATATAAGGGAAGTTTTCTTTATTTTGTGTTGTCTGGAGTTGGCTGTGTTTCTGTAATCCTTGTTTCAGAACATGCAGTTTGCCGAAAGTCCTAGATGATACAGTTTATGGCTCCGTGAAAGTGAGATCAGTCCTGCTGTGCTGTGTCCGCTCATAATCGTGCCTCCCAGGGAGTGGTTGTTAGTTATCAGTCCAGAGCCTTTTTGTTTGTTTGTTTGGTTGTTTGTTTGTTTGGTTGGTTTTGCCTCCTTTTTCTCTCTGGTTTGATTCAGTTTTCTGTGTGTGCATGTCTTGTGCTTTTTGAAGAATTTGTTTTTGTTATAGAACAGCAACTCTGATTTCTGTGTTATACAATTAAATTAACATGGGAGCAGTTACTAAACTTGAGGTTGGGTCTACTCTTTTGTTACCAAATACCAAGTCATTTTAATACTGGAGATGGCATGTTTTTGTGAACATAAAATGGCAAAACTCCATCCTAGTTTCCAGCCCCTTTGCGTCATCACAGGGTGTCTAACATTTACCCATGGCTTTATTTATTTATCATTTTATTTATTTTGTCTTCCAATTTGAACATCTGTTCTTTCCCCTTCACCCCCTTTCCAGATGTTCCCTAGCTGTGCTGACCTCTGCACTGTGTAGTGTGTTCATCTGGTGGATTGTTTGTGACTACATTCTTCCCATCGTGCTATTCTGTCTCGATGGTTTAAGAACACAGTAGCCGTCAAGACTCTTTGGCCAATAGCTGCTGTGTAAGTGTTCCATTCCATTTCTCTACAGTACTCACCGCCAGTGTCCAGTGTGTGTCTCCTGATGCATGTTTTCCCCACTACGAGCTCTAGCTTTATTGATTTGCCTTTTTTCGAAGGTTCTTTTTCTGAAGCTCCTCAATTAATGGGGTGGTGGCAGGGAGGAAGGCTTTCGCTATTCTTTTCACACGTGGGATATTAAAAACAACACACTTTTTTTTAAGTTGTGCTTCCTCTTAACAGGCTTTTCGAAATTACAGTTTAAAAATACACTGACCTAGCTTCTTTTCATTTAGTTAGATTGGAATAATTTGGGGTGCTTTTCTTTCGATCAGTTGTCTTGTAGAACTTTAATTTTCTAGAGAAGTATCTTTAGTATGCTCGTTCCAATCTAGCAAAAGGAATTTTCCCACTGATTTTCTGCCATTAGTCAAGATGTGACTCTGCAGCCCGAAGGTCTAGCGAACACGACGTCCTGTTTCCCCTCTGCTTCTGCCAGTGAACGCAGCCTGCTCTCGGCAGGCAGCTGCTCCCTAGTAAGTCCTCTGTCTTGAGAGTGTGCAGAATCTTCTCTTCTCTCATTTCGCTCCCCCACCACCCACCTTACCATTAAGTACGATTTTCAGAACTTGATGTTAACCCAAACTAGGAAAGCCAAGACGACCACAGTTCTTTGCTTATGTTTGTGTTTCTGCACCACCCTCACTGCTCCTTACTCACTCCTACTTTCCTTCTTTCCTGAAAGTAAGCGAATTGCCTTTATTAGGATAATGTAAACAGAATTCGTATTCTCTTGATACCTTTCGTCCTTAAATGAATACCTTAACAATGAAGAGACTTCTTTTCTGCAGAAGGGTGTGGCAAAAAGCTTGGGTTGGGGGGTGTCGTGTGGTAGTCAGAGGAAGCTTGGGGACGGGAGGTGTGCCCTGTGAGGCTGCGATTGGCCGCCACCCTCTTATGTCCAGACCGCATTCTTTTTTCTTTTGAAATTTGTTGTCAGCTCATATTTCAAGAATTTCTTCCCTTGCTCCGATTTGGACTTGGGAGTTATAAAGTAATACAAAAGTTCCTTCTAGGGCCTCCTCCAAAATAAAATGCCACAGTAACCAAGTCTGGTCTTTGTGGTTTCATTCAGATGAAACCTTGCCAACTTCATTCTTTTCAAAATTAAGGAAAAGCTGCTTGTTTTTCTATTTGTGCTATTTCTTAAATATCTTATTAAATACAAACTTATTATATAAGCTGATGAGCTGTATTTCTAATATAGATTACCCTTTTAGGTGTTTTTTCCCTTTATTTCTCTTAATAATCTTAGATTTCTAGATATTCTGACTCCAGTGCATTAGGTACTGTATAGATTTATCTCAAGGTATTTGCTGTGGCAAAGCTGTCTTGAATAGGTATGATTCTAACTGGGTGGCACATTGCTAATAACACCTAGGTACTTTGTGATTATATTATTTTCCCGGGTAAGTTAAATGAGTTTAATTGGGCTCTTTTCTTTTTACTGTTGTAAGGTTTAATTTTTTCTGTTATGACTAACATTTGCCATTGGATTAGGCCCGAAGCAGAGTATTCAACCTAGCCTGACTGACTAATTTGGAATTTTCATAAACTAAAGCTTTCAACAGCAACAATGATATAAAAATATAATCCTCGTAGTTGTCTTTCGAGGTGGTTGCTCCTGGGCACCATCGTTGGCACTTCCCTTTGGCGGCATGATATGTTTAGGCGGCGCGCGTGGAGACCTTGACAACAAGGACACATGGGCTGCTGCGCCAAACCCTTGGTGGGAGAGGTGCCTGTGGAGGTTGCAGGGCTTTGGGCCCATCACTGGGAAGCTTGTTCTATATTGGTGGTCGACAACCAGTACATATAGTGCATCGTTGCTCTGATGGATTCTCTTCTCAGAATTGGGGATGTTTATGCTCAAAGCATTTTGTGGCTTGATAGGTGAGAGACCTGGCTTTTCAGTTTTTGTTTTGCTCTAGTCTCAAGTCGCAGGCATCCTTGGGTCCAAAATCTGGGAATACTGGGGGGCTCAGGACAAAGTGAGTACTGCAGAGAACTAAGTGAACTGCAGTGTGATCAGGAGATGAAAAGTAGGATCAGGGATTCTGCCAGGGAAAGATGGAAAGGAGAAAACACAGGTGCTGAATAGTGCTCCACAAATCTCGTGTTCGGCCTGGTTTGCAGAGTGGGATGTAGGTCCCTCCCTTTTAGCCCAGGTCAGAATTTGCCAGCCTATGCCACCTTACCTGGTGTTACTTACAGGATATCACAGGTAATATCTAAGCATAGTTGCTTGGTTTTCCCCCCACTTTATTGATACATAAGCTACAGATACAATAACTGTTCTGTCATTACTGCAAATAACTGGTGGCCTGAATTTTTATTAGTGTGATAGCGCATACCAAATGCCTGTCATGCGTGGATTTTCAAAGTTTCACATTAATTATTTACATTAGTCTTAAAGGTACTTTAAAATACTTTTTAAAAAAGTTTTCTGTCAAACTAAACTTTGATTTATCAGGAGTATCTTGTCTTGACTAGAACTTGTCTTGAAGATTTCAGTATAGGTAATTTAAGAAATCAGGGCTTCAATTTCCCAAGTAGGCAATGTATTGACTCTTGTTTTTCCTCATATTCATTTTATAGTGTGGTGCTTGTCTATACTTTTGGCCATAAATGGCCTTGTTTCAAAAGTAGGTGTGGTATTTCAAAAACACCCACAGGAGTCTCATTTTCTCCATTTGTGAAAATGGGGATAAAAACCACCAGCCTTGTGAGCAAGCGAGAGGCCTCGAGACAATACTGGCAGCCCAGCGCATGAGGCCTGGGCTTCAGAAATGTCTGTGCCGGCACCCTGGGCTGGATTTTGTTGTTGTTTCGGCTTTCTTTCTTTTTTTTTTTTAATGAAAAACTCTGAATTCAGATTTTTAACAAAGATTACCAAATATCTCCCCCTCATTTTATAGAATCAGAAAGAATTTTAAAATAAATCCTTGTTTTCAGGAGTAGAATTCATATGCCAGGGAACTTGGTGTCTTTAATCACATAGCTGTGTCTGCCTGTACTTTTTCTGTTTTGCTGAAACATTCAACATTTAGGATGATAAAACTCTGTGAGGAATCCTGAGTTGAGCAGTGGTTCATTTTACCTAAGATCACTTCCCCTCAGCCAGGTGAAAGGCCAAGTCCTAAGGTTTTCAGAAACCTACATGGTTATAGCAGAAAGAGCTGGAAGCTGGGATGGCAGCCCCTCCCTCAGCCCCTCCCTCTTCTCCCCAAACAGCTGGAACAGCACTGCACTGGCCTCCAGACTTCTGCTCTGGTACAGTAGAACCTATTGTTTCTTTAGTGATGGGAAATTAGCATTTTACTGAAGATTGCATATTTAGTGCTTTGGGTAATACTGAGATTATAGGAATTTACTAATCTAACTTACATCGTGTAAGGACCTGGCTGTGGTTATTAACTAACAGTGGTAATGCAGGCACAGGAAGTAGGACTACTGGTTTGTTGTGATGGTTTATTTTTACTCCGAGGAACTGATTTCAAGTCTGTTACCACCTTACCCTTATGTTTGGATATGAGAACAGGAAGCTCTTTCAAGTCAGTGTTTTCTCTTACAGAGAAAGCAAAATGGAATATATAAGTGTGTGTGCATACATTTCAGCATTTCAGTCATTATCACTTGATGCTTTCTGCTCTTTTCCCTGTGACAATTGGGTGAGGAATTTAAAAACACCCTTCAGCCCTGACTGGTGTGGCCCAGTTGGTTGGGCGTGTCTTGCAGCAGAGTGAGGGGTAGCAGGTTCATTCCCAGACAGGTGTAGGCCTGGGTTGGGGGTTAGGTCCCACGTGGAGGGTGTAAGGACGCAACCAGTCAATGTTCCCTCCCTCCCTTCCCCTGTCTCTTTAAAAAACACACAAAACAAAAAAAGCCACCTTCCACCTAACAGTACACTGGGCTTAATCTTGGGGAGTTCTTTCTGATTCATTAATACACCTTGGGGTGGTTTACTCCCAGAGGCATCACTTCCTTGAGACTTTTAGAGTTCAATTAAATCAAGTCTTACAAAATTTAGCAGTTTCACTTTCTTATTAATGGGTACTTGGTGACCAGTAAATAGTTGTAATCCAGACAAAACTCACATTTTGCTTGAACATGTTTTTAAAATTTGGAATGTTTTCATAAAATTGGTGTTGATTCAGAGTGTATTGCCCTTACTCTCAGCTCTGAGGAGTGAATATTGTACAGATATTTCTATTCGCATTCTTCAGAATTTTAGGGGGTTTAAATGAGTTCTTGTTTATATGACTAGAATTCTGGGAACGTACTTTGACTTTGGGACACAGATTTGTCTTACTGATTGATTTCTCTGGTGTAGGAATTGTTGAAAATGCCAGGTCATTTGTTTTCCAAAACCAAAGTAACTCTTAATTATCTTTCTGTAACCCACATAGAGAAATAAGATGCTTCATTTCAAAAGAGCTTGATGTAAAAATGTGTTTCAGTTTGTTGGCAAACGTGTTTCTGGCAAATCCCATCAATTCCTCATTAAATAATTGCACTAAAGTGCAAAAATGCCTTCCTGTCAAGTATTTGCAAATTATTTCAGTGAATATAATGTTATTTTTTTCCAACTGTTTTCAGAGTAATCCTGCAGTCCAGTGTTCAGAGCTGTAAAACGCCTGAACCTGACATTTCTGGCAGTGCAGGCGTTACTAAAAGAACCACCAGATCTGCTTCAAGGAAAAGCAGTTTTAAAAGGTGAGAAAAGAGTCCTGCTCTTCTGAAAAGTTCCAAGCATTGGTTTCCCAGTTTAATCTTCTGGAGCTAGAAATGAAAATGGGAAAAGCAGAGTCCCTGTGGTGGGAAATTAATCAAATGTTTTTGACTGGTTTGTCATGTAAGAAAATCTGGACCATTTCAATGCAGGCTGTTGTTTAGTTTTGTTTTTCAAAGATATTCTCAGTGCTGGAAACGTGGTGCCTGAGTCATAACACGGGAAAGCTGAGAATGTCGTATATGTAAGTTCTTATTAAGAATTTCCAAAATCTCTGTCAGGACTTGGAGGAAATCTTTCTGTGTATCACATTCAGCATAATTGTTGGGGAATTCAGTACAAACAATTATGATGGTGGAAATAGGTGAAATTGAGTGAGTTATGACCCTTTTGACCTAGGGACTGTCCTCCTGGCCACAGTCCACACCTAAGGGGGCTCATTCTTTCACTTCAAGCCCAGCATCTTTCACTTTTGTGGTTAATAAGGGCAGAAATGGAATTCTCTATGACTAAAACCATTACTCATTGTTATCTTTGGATATTTGTCATGAACTGAAGGCAGACGTTTTATTTTTAACATATTCTAAAAACAGATCCCTCTTGAGGAAGGAGCCTCTAAGGCACATAGTATCGCCTCAGGAGTGGCAGGCAGGCCGGAGGCAGCAGCCTGTGTGGTCCTGTGCGAGGCACTGAGCTGCCGGCACAGCAAGCCCCTTCTAGTACCACAGGCAGCGAAAGACGGCCCAGACCAGGCTTCAGTAAAGCGTCCTGCACGGATTCCATGCTTCTCTGTTGTTTTTCCGCCCCCGTGTCTGTGAGGCTTTGGCCAGAGGTGCCCATCTCCAGTGCTGAGTGAGGCTCTGGTGTGGTCTCCAGCAGTCTGTGTCCCAAGGGACTTGCTGGCGGGCCAGAGGGCCCTGGCTGTGTTGCTTTATTAAGAAAGTGTTCGGTTCTGCTATTTTTCCTCTTTGCTGATTCCTTTGTACCATTTTACTTATCTGAGAATGTGCTCGTGCCCCAGTACAAGTATTTGAGAGTCAGGCACTGACTCGTGATTTTAGAATTTTAAAATTTTCATTAGAAAAGTATTAGCTATTCATACTAATTCCACTTGAGAAGAATAATAGAGAAATGTTGACCAAAAATCCAAGATTTAGAGGTACATTATAACAAAACCAGAATGTTATATATAACAGTGAAAAAGAGGAAACAGGGTTTAAAGATTAATGAATTATACCAAATAAATTTAGAGTCATGTTTTTAAAGAAAATTTAATGATCTGGGTAAATACTCATGAAGCAATAAGTGAAAAGAGCTATACATGATTATTATGGAGTATTCCTCTTAATTTTGAAAATGTACAATGTGCTTTATATAATGTATATAGAAATGTATAGATGTATAAATACTTATATTTATACATATTTATAACTATATATTTCCATATAAGTATTGAAATAAGATAAAGGAAAATATGCTGTAATATTAACAGTTCTTGTTGGTAAGACAGTTGGGGAATTTTTTTCTTTTTAATCCTTTTTTCCTCAACTTTACTACAATAAATGGAGTGAAATGGGAGTATTTTAACTTTGACACTTTTAGGTGAATTAAATTAAATTAAAAATTAAAGTAAGAAGCCTGCTGTTGGTGAAAGTTAGAAATGTTTCGAATGGACATAATCTTTTTAGGTATAGTTTCTCAGGCTTTCATTACAGTCTAGTGTGTCTCGCCTATTTAATCTGCCTTCCCCTTTCTGGATTGTGCTCTTCAGGTTTCAGGGGAAGAGTCCGGGAGCCGCACAGGGTGTGCCCGGTCACACCACATTCCTCTGGGGTCATGGCTGTGCCACAGTTTTTCCACCTAGGTCTTGTCTAGTGATCTAAACCTGTGTTTCTCAGCAGAGGTGCTTCCTGTGCAGTGAGCATCTCCCTGAGTTCCCTGGACCAGATGCTCTGAGGGGCGTCGAGTCGAGTTCAGACTGAATATGCTTGATTAATATTGAAATTGCCCAAAGCAGTTTCCAGGCATTGAGGATAGTGTTGAAAAGCAAAAAGACAACTTTTAATTTTCTGAAAGGGACTATCAGAAATTGGGAAGGGTAAAGAAGTAAAGTAGTGAGAATTAACTGGGTCTCATTGTGTTTCACCAGCCCCCTTTGTGCAGGGGCTCCTTTGCCTCCTTTGGGGCTCTGACCTGTGTTCATGTCACCTGTGAGCCACCTACAGCTCACAAAAGAAAAATATGTTACATATGGGTCCCAGCCCCGGCTTCTAGGGAATAATGGGAGTTGAGGCAGATAAGCTGTAAACTGAAGCTTTTATCCTACTGAATAGTATTCATCTTTGGTTGGAGAGTGATGGGGGAATTAACATATTTGTGCATAATCTGATGCAGTACAAAATAACATGAGCTAAGATTATTCAGTAATTGTAAAGTATTGAATAGAATTCTTTTCTTTAGACAACAATACAAAAACAAATAGTCCATTCCTTCCATGTATGTTCATAAATAAGGCACCAGGGTTGCCAGTCTGCTGTCATTCCCATTTGTGAAGCCTTCTCTTTTGCAGGCTCATGTTGTTCACGTGTCGTCATTGTCATTTCATTGTGCCATAGGAACTTGACCTCTCATTTCTGTGCCTTGTTCTGTTCTTAGAGGTTTCCCGGATGAAGACCTTGCCTAAATTCACTTTCAATTGATATGGTCCTCTTGACTTCTGACAGTTTACTGAGAGGCTCTGCAGCTTTGGAGAATTTTTCCACAAACATGTTAAAAGAGCAAATATTTGATACTTGAAAAAAACCCGCCTATTGTCATAAGCATTTGTTTTTGTCACGGCAGGTGGTTATTCCCTCGTGCATCCATTGAACATAGGCGGTATCTCACCCTCAGCCTTGTGTGAAAAGCTCTGCTCTGGCAGCCGCAGCAGCATCTGGTGGCGGGTGGTGGGCAGCTGACCCTCAGTGCCAGGCGGTTCTGTGTGTATCTTCCTGAGCAGAAAGAAGTAAACTAATGTGCTCCTACACTTCCCACTTCTTGTTATAGCTAGAAACTCATTTTAATGTTTCTCTTTTACTAATAAATCCAGCGAAGAATTGGCCTGTTCTTCAGTGTTCTCTCATTAACTCTCTGGAGAGCTCTCTTAGATTGAGTCTTGAAAATGCCACCATTGTGCCTCTGAGAACCCACCTCACGGACATCATTCAGTTCCTGTCTGCATACAGCCCGCCCACTGCGTGCATGCTCCTGTCAGCTTGTGCTCTTCCTTTGCGGCCGTCTCTCCTTTTTGTTTCAGTTATAACCTCATCCATTTGCTAAGAACACTGTCATATACGAGGATTTTTTTATTCCAGGTTGCATCTTTGGGAACCATCACTTTCTGCTCCACCCGCCAAACCTACCTAGTGTTCATTGCTCTGGGGGGTCCTGTGCCTCTTTATTCATATTGGGAGGGCTCTTTACCAGCCCTGTAGTTAGGACATTTTTAGTGGGGGATCTTTTTAAGTCTTTTCATTTCTGATTCTTACCACCATCGTTCCTGTCATTGTGTCTTGCCCTTCAGAGTCAGTTCCCAGTGACTGTTCCATGACCTCTGGGCTTTAGTTTTCGTCATTGCCATTATCTCCAAAAGCACATCCTTATAGACACCCCAGAATGTTGTATCTAAATGTTCTTTTTAAAAAAATGCTTGGTTACCTCTGGTCTTTTAAAATGTTAATCTACCTTTGGAATTCCAGATATTTTCCCACTTGGGAACTGACCTGGACTTTTATACTCGGTGCTCTGTTGAAGTCTCCGAAAGCCCCGTGATGGATGTAGATGAGCTGCTCTGGTAGAGCGTTGTCGTCATCGCCCCAGTGAGGGATTGGAGTTGGTTTTTCTCTTCTCGTGCTTTAGTTTTTCTCTGAAAGTTGCTATTTACCTGAGAGTGTCAAGTAATAAATTGTGGAAAGAAACTAGGGAGGTAGGGTGAGGATCAATCAAGGGTAATTATTGACAAATGGACAAGGGGTCTTCCGGTGTCTTTGCCTGGCGTGACTGGTGGCACCTGGGTTAGGAGTCGGCAGGCAGCCCCCTTGCGGCCGCACGCTGAGTGCGGAGGAAGGTGTGGAGCAGGTGCGGTGCCCGGCGCGCGCTGCTCAGCTGCAAACTGCTTGACGTGCCAGGGCTTTTTCTGTGACCGCATTCTGGCTTAGGCAATACTCGAGTAACACTTCTTTATCTTTTCGTCTTTTCGCTTCTCCCGCAGCCTGGTTCCTCAGAGGGAAAGAAGGAAAAGGAGTGCTTGGCAGCCAATGCCCTTAGTGGCATTATGGTACTCTCACTGCTCAGCTGCTTCTGCCTGCCCCCCCCTCTTTTATTTTGACTGTTTTTTATTTTTTTATTTATTTTATTTTTATTTTTGCAGAACTGAACCTTTTTCTGCTCTGCCTTTCTCTCCTGTTTGTCTTTATGGTTGGTATTGTACTGTTTTTTCCAAAGTATTTGTCATTAAAGGATTATACAAAGAGTATACTCTTTAGCATGTCAGTATTTTTTATTATGTTGCCTTCCTTGTCTTTGATAACTGCGTATGGGACACTTGGAAACCGTCATGGTAAAATCCTTTTTTTTCTCCCCCCGTAGTCCCTCCATTTCAAGGACTAAAACAGTCTTGCGTTAAGTAAAAACCTGTGACCAGAACTGAAGGAAGACTCTAGGAACAGAAAACCACAACAGGACTTAGCACAATTTATTTTGGAAACAAAACAAAATTGAAAAAGCCTTAGCTGCTTTCCACCTAAGAAGTTTATTCAATGAAGAAAATGTCCACTGGAGTATAAATAACTACATGAGGTTTGGGTACAAGGGATGACCTCAAGGCAGCCCAACTCTCCTTTTGTAGGAACGTCTCAAGTTGAACAACGAAAAAGCTGTTGTAAATTTCGTCTCAGGTGTAAATATCAAAGCCCTCTGTTATCAGGAGGGCTGACTACTCTGTGGGTGCATGTGTGTCCCTGTGATGGCAATCATTTTTGCTGCTGGCCTTCAGAGGAATTAAGCATCTGATGGAGGTTTTTTACCTATTTATTTTCTGTTCACCCTGTGTCAAAATTTATAAATATAAAACAGGCATTACTTAAATGGTACTTTCTGTAATTTGATACTATTTGGTGTAATCACCTTCACTTTAATACTTGTGATATTGTTGTAATGTTAACTGTGTTAAGTACCCAAGCTGCTTGTCTTCCACCAAAGAGTGCTTTATTAACGAGACTCTGAAAACCACAGACGGAGACTGCTGCATGTTGTGACGGAAGTGGCAGTAGGCACGACGGTGCCCTAAACTCGCGAGAGAGTGTCAGTAGTAGCTTTAGAAGACTCCAGAGGAGAAGCTAGCCTCAGAGTTGGGAGATTGTTGGAGTCATTCCTTTTTATGTCATTTAGAGGCTAAATTATTTGCTTGCCTATTCATACAGATTAAAATTGTACTTCCTTCTTAGCATGGAAAAAACCCACCCTTTTGGTGTTTCTCCTTGGAAACAGTAATCCAAAACAATGGTAGCTTTTAAAAAAAAAACAAACTGCTTTGCTAGGGTCTTTCTCTCTACCATTGTGGATTTTTTGGTAACGTGATCAGCCCAGGGCCATTCATACACCCTTTGATTTCAGTGACAGTGACTCACATGTGGGTTTCGGTGGTTCGTACATAAGACACTCACTGTTGCCTTTGGTTAGGGAATCAACTCTTTGTGGAGTGCCTTCTCCCCCTACAGAAACACAGCAGAGTCTGTGATGTAAAGCAATCACAAACACAGAGTTTATTTGCTGCTTAAAAAAAAATGGGGTCCATTATAAAAGAGTATTTTTAAGTGAATGAATGGTCGTAGCTCTTGTTAACCACTGTTGGCCTGTCCTAGTTTGGAGGATCGGGGGATATGTTATTGAAAGGTGAAATGCCTTCACATTACGAGATGAATGAATCAGGTCAGTAGGTAATGTCGTGTTTTTAAACCTGTCCTTTAAACAGAACTATGAGGAAGAAGAAGTGGTTGGCATAAACAGATTAAAGTTTGTCAGTGCAAAAATAATGGGAAGGCCCTGACTCCACTTCAGTATTTACACTCTGGAATAATCTTGAGGTTGCCTCCCTTTGAAGGGATGGTGGACACTGCCGTTGTTTTGGCCACACAAGCAGCACTTCCCCATTAGGCCACGTGGGGGTTGGGTCATGCAGGCTTTTACACCTTGGGGCCTGGATCTCAGAAAAACAGTGGTTTTTCTATCCCTGGAAATTCATAGACATAAAGACCAACTTGCCTGATGGGAAGACCGCTTTCCAATGAGCTTTGGGTGGGAGGAGAAACATTCCATTTGCTGGATTGTTCTGGGAGAGAGAGAATGCTGGATATTCAAACTGCCCAGGCATAAACATTGAATTCTCAGGGCAAATTTTCTTCCCTTTACAGTTTTAAAGGCCATCTCCTGCATAAATATAATTCAGGTAGTTGTGAGAATCAAATTTCCATCTGAACTGTGCTTGGTTTGGCTTTTTATTATGTCAGAACAAGTAAATGTGCTATCCCTTCCCAGCAAATAAGCCATTTGGTGTCTTGACCAAGAATGAAAAATTTGGACTTTAGTGTTAACCACAGTACTTACTATTTTACTAATGGCCTTTTTGTGTTGGCTGCTCACATTTCCAGCTAGAATTGCTATCACTGTGGCTCTCTCTAAAAATCCTTATGTTTAACAGGCTCTTTGCTGAAGTTAGTCATAGGAAACTAGTGATTTCATAGTCATTTCTTGGAACACAGAAGGACATAGCAACAGTGTTAAACTTCGGAGGACATACCTAGAATCTAGGAAGTCTCTGGGTCAGACTGATGGAAAGCTCTTGCTATGAGTAAGAGTGGACTCTTCCCCCCCCCCCCCCGCAGCTGAACAATCAACACACCCAGAATCTCCTAAGATTCTAATTTCAAGCTGTTACGGGAAACCTTTTTGCAATGGAATGTGAAACAGCGTGTCAGGTGGAGAGATTCCTTTACCTTAAGTGACTTAGATAGCTTTAAAAGTACACCATGGTCATTTCCATTGCAATGAGAATTGGAAATACTTTTAGGTGCCCTTGAAGCTTTCTGAGCACTCAAATCATCAAAAGTCAGGGACAGCCCAAAGGAAGGGTGTCTGCAAGACTGGGTCCCGGGAAGTCTAGACAGACTTCTGTTTCGTGTTTGTTCAAAACCAGGGATCTCTGTGACCTGCTGTGAGGAGGGCCACCCTGAGCAGTGCCTCGCTGAGACCGGGAGCCTGGCTGGTCAGGGTAGCTGCTTCCCAGCTGCAGGCTGCTCTTCCCGTTTCCAGAAGAGTTCTGTTCCCAACTCGATCCCCTGCCTTCCTTCTCCCTTGACCTCTTCCCCCTCTTGGGGGTGATTTCTACCTCTTCTCTTGGGCCCAGACAAGTTTTAGAGGCGCTCCCCAGTGTTCTCACTCGAGAAGGGGTTTCCTTTGGGAACCCAGTCCCTGGCGGGCGGGCTGTGCAGACCCTCAGGCGTCTGGGCCGTGTTGTGCCAAGAGCTCCGGGAGCCTTTCCTTTGCTTGAATCCGTGTTCATGACACAGGAGCAACGCGTTCCTTTGATGTTTGTTCTAAAGTAGCTCTGCTGTGTCTCTGTGCATTTTTAATTACTGCGTTTTGGAAAGCAATGCTCATCAAAACACAACTTAGAAAGCCTATTTTGATTCTTTCATAGTTATCTCACTAAATCTGCCTTGTGAGGTTAGCTGCTGCTCTTCTCTTTCTCCTAAATCTGAGTGTCTCCATGCCGCGAGGTGGGAGTGCTGCAGGTGTGCTGAAAAGACTGGCTAGCTCACCAGTACCAGTACTGGGTAGGAAGTTACCTCCTCAGTTGCCTAGTAGAATTAAATGTCAGCAGGTATGTCATCTAATTAATAGTACTGCAGTTTTATATTAATAATTTGCATACTTTATCTAACCTGCACTCATGTACAGATTATTAAAAGTTTTAAAATGTAACTGATTAATCAGTATCTGGTCAATCATTGTCTTGATTTTTTTAATTAAAGTGTATATTTCTAATCATATTTTATAAAGCTGAGAGAACTGGTTGAATGAATGTTTATTTTCCTGAAGGTATTTTTAAAATAAAGCTTCTTAATGGCGTGTAAACTTTGCATATCTATGTAGTTTGATACATGTTGTATTTGAAAAATCGTGTGTATTGTAACTGGTTTTATACAAAATATTGAATCATGGAAATTGTGTAATTATAAATCGTGTAATTAAAAGTGTTAACCAAACAATCTTCAGGTTTGTTTGTGTTCTTTCACTGACCATCCCGAATTGTGGGGGCAGTTAGTGTGGCTGTGACGCTCGGTGTGTGTCTGCCAGAGCACAGGACCAGCACACTGCCAGCTGGGTGCTCGGACAGTGAAATCTGTGCTTCCGCAGTTCTGGAGGCCGGAAGTCCCAGGTCAAGGTGTCGGCAGTGTGGGTCCCTTCGGTGCCTTTCCTCGGCTTTCTGTCTGAGCACGCCGATCGTGGCGTTCCTCTGTGGGCCTCGTCTGCTTTTCTTAGGACACTAGTCAGCCCGGGTGAGGGCCCACCCTAACAGTCTCATTTCAACTTAATCACCTTTTAAAGGCCTTGTCTCCAAGTTCAGTCATATTGTAAGGTACGGGGGACACAGGCTTAAACTTGAGAATCTGGGGATACAGTTTGGTCCATCCCTAGGATAAAACAGTGAGCAGGTGATGCTAGCATTCCTGTTATGAAGTCATTCTACCCACACCCACCACCAGCTCCCACGATGTCAGGGTTTCGCTTCTGGGAAAGTAAGACACATCCGTCAGGCCCTCAGGGGTCAGAGACAGTAGTCCCTTTATTTTACCTGCCATGGTCAGGATCAAAGGGCTGGGTGAAAGGCAGGACTGGAGCTTGAGCATTCCTTGTCCTGATGCATCTAACCAGGGACTCCATGCACTGGGCTGTTTCCCTGCCTTCCCTCTTGAATGGTCTCTTGCAGGGCAGGATCCTAAAGGTCTAACGCCCAGGTCATCATGGCAGAGATTGTGTCTGACCCAGAAGCCTGTTTGTAGGGAGTGTTGTCCAGCTCCCTAAGGAATTTAGCTTTGGTCCATGCTGGGGTATGAGTTTTCAAAGCACAAACCAAAGGGAACTGTCTTCTCACCCTTACCCAAACTACCACCAGAGTGGGATTTGCAGGCTCTGCCCCCCTGTTGAAAGCGACAGCATCCACTTGCTCCCACCATGGTTTACCATGAGGCCAATACTGGGTGTGACCTCCTGGCAACTGACTGGAGCTTGTGTGGGCCAAACAGCCCGACGTACGTGACCACGATGAAAAGGTACGTTTGGTGGCAAGGAAGGCTCTGAGGCCTACCAGGCTTTGGATGAAATCACCAGGTGTGTGTTTCTCCTGGGAGCAGCTTGTCTCCCAGAGCTATGCAGTACGTGAGACCAACCTGAGACTCGTGGCCCTGTAGATACTCTCCTGTGTTGTTGATACGCTGTCTAGAGCCCATGGACAATCTGCCAAACCCCCTTATTTAGGGGAAATGGAAATAAAAAGAATTTCTATCTTAAGGATGAGAATTAGGTGAGATAACACATGCTATGTACTCAAAGCAGTGTCTGGCTCCTAGCTCTCAATAAGTTGATTTTTTATACATTTAAAATATTTTCCTCTAGGTAACTGGGTAGAGACAGGTTTTGGTTGCAGATATGGCCCCTCTGTATCTGATATCTTTTGTACCTGTAGTATAATTTCATGGGCTTTAGGAGAGGTCAAACTTTTGACTTGTGAGGGAGAAATTCATGCACTGAAGGTAAGTCTCCAGAGTGGTTTGTCCAAAGCCAGGGCAGGGAGAAACTTAAGAGGTCCCTTCTGAGGCCCCAGGAATTTACTGATAACAAGCTGATGAAAAAGCAGTGATGTGTGTTCTGAAACAAGTTCTGCCCCCTGTTGCTTGACCGTGGGATCCTTTATCTGCCTCCTTGCCCTCACTGTTCATCTATAAAATTGGACTAGTAAATGCATGGTGTTTAGATTAAATGGGATCCAAGTACGTGTGCTTTAGCCCGGGACCCTGAGCCAGCCTGCAGTGCAATAAATACCCAGAACCTCTTACTTCTCTACCTCCCGTCTGAAGGGCAGTTGTGGGCGCGTGGGGAGGCAGCATTGCGGAGTGGTCTGCACGCCACTCGCCTGCTTCGTAGTGCGCCACGGCGTCCCAGATTCTGAGCGTGGTTGACCACGTAGGGGCTTTCTGGCTTTTTACTGTTACAACATTGAGTAAACGTTCTCATCTAGGACTTCCTGGGTGATGCTGGTTATTTCCTTAGGATAGATTCTTACAGAAGATACTTCTAAGTCAAGAATATGCAAAATTTTAAAGTTTTGTTGCCCATCACACCAAAAAGTAGCTTGGGATCATTGTTTAGAGCATGGATTCTGGTCTGAGACTGGGTACAGTCTCTTAATAGCCATGTTTTTGGAGCCCGGATGACAATATCTAATATGGTTGTATGAGGATTAAATGAATTAATATTTTGTTAATTACTTAGAGCAAGTACCTGGAACATTATTAAGAGCCATATATATTTAATTAAAAAATTAAAATATCACCATAACGCTCTCCAAAAAGACGCTGACAGTGTGCACTCTCTGGCACGCCCCCAGCAGCGCTGCCGTTGCTGAGCTGGTTGGTTCACAGCAGGACCTGGCCCGAGTGTACAGTACAGCACTGTAGTGGTGCTCTGTACAGTCCTATGTTTCACCTGCCCGGTTGTCCAGCTTTGGAGCCTTTTGTCTTTTACATGGCTGGCACAGCATGTCCCTGTTACTGTCTCACTGTTTTCCCCAGCAGCCTGGCAGGGGATGCTGGCCCAGCCCATGTGGGAAGAGGTCCCCTCACCGCCCCTCTCTAACTGTGTCTCGTCTCTTTGCTAGCAAGTCTGCACGGCTTTGACATGCTTCTGGATGACAGGGGCACCATCTACACGGAAATGTCCAGGTAAGGAGGCCTCCCGCCCCGCAGCGCCAGAGCCACGTGGGCTGGCCTGGACCCCTCAAGATTCTTATAATGGCTACATATATCTGTAGGCAGGAAGAGGCTTTGTTTGGGGAAAGAAAAATTGAAGAGGGTGGTATGATGTGTGCTTTGTTTTACTTGGAGAAAGACAATGGTTTCTTGTCAGCATGGATATGCTTCTCTAAGGAAAACAAGATGGCTTTTCAGGCAGGACAATTCTTCCTTGCGTAGGGCTATCTGGAGAATGCAGCCCTTTGCCACCCCCCCACCCTACCCCACACATGAATGCCAGTCCTGTTTCCAGCCGTTGGACAATCCAAACACCCCCACACATTTCCAACCACATTCATGTTGGGAACAGCTGATGTGCTTCCAGTACAGCTTACTGGGCAGCATTATGAAAAGAGCAACGGACGCTCATGGGACCCACCGAAGGAGTACCGTCCTGCCCTGTGTGGTGGCCCAAGCCCCAGTGGGCCGAGGAGGAGCCCAGGAAAGGTTTTGTTTACAGAGGGGGCGGCAGTGGAGCTCAGCCCTTCAGCGGTGCACCTGACTTTCATGAAACCGGGGGTCCTCTGAGACTTCGGGTCTGGTCTTGGGTGGGTGAGCAAACTGCCTTCTTGCCTCGTCCTGGCTTATTCCCTGGCAGGGGTGTCCAAACTTGTGGTGTCTCTGGGCCACACTAGAAGAAGAGTTGTCTTGGGCCATACATTAAATACACAAACACTAGTGAAAAAAAATATCAATGTTGTAAGTAAGTTTACAGTTTTGTGTTGGGCCACGGGTTGGACAACCCCTGCAGGGCAGCAGGCAGAGGGGTCACCGGGCTTTTGTCTTGGGCCATGAGAGTACAGAACTGGGTGATACACTGGACAACTGAGGGCAGAGCAGGACGGGGGGGTGGCAGGTGGCCGTCCTGGACTGCTCTTACTTAGTCATTCCACGGTGGCCAACCCCAAATTTGCCTTGCAGTTAACCAAGGAGTTTAGAGCACGCCCTTGGGGTTTCTCCTCCAGCTGACATGTTAAACTAGTCCTTGCCATCCTGGGTGACTAACTTCCTCCCTTTTCCAGCGATGGTTGGCTGTCACGGGCAGTAAACTTTCTAGACCGTCTGTTGATCTGGCTCGGGCTCCACAGGGACTAGACCTGCAGGGGAGGTTTCTCCCCAAGACGGCACAGCATTCACCAGCGGACACTCAAGGTGCAATTTAAATCTGTTTCCTCAGGCCCATGCCTCAGACTCTTTCACCTGGTATTGAGATTGCAGCCCAGGGCCAGAGTTCTGGTAGGTAACCCAGGGGATTGACTGGGTCAGGGAAGGGACCAGGCAGGTACCTCTCTGGGAGTTCAATCCCAAGTCTCAGTAGACAGTGTTTCTTGAATTTTCTTACTTTAGGAGCCCCAGTGACTACCTGATGGAAGCTGAAGACCCTCTATCTCCCCACAAAAGTTTGAGCAAAATTTTTGAGTAGTTCATAAACTGGCTGTGCACTGGCCAACTCCACAGGTGCTGTGCCTACAGACGCAATCTGATGGGCGCCCCCTGGGGGTGTGCTGTAAAGGAGCCTATTCACCAGTCATCCCAACCTCACTCTCACTGAAAACCTCTCCAGCGTCGCTGCTCCGTCTTCCTCTCTTGCCGTCACTGCCACAGCCTGCATGGTCTGACCCGTTTGCATTGCTGAATATTTTAGGTCTTACCTCAGAAGTACTTTAAAACTGTTCCTCCCTGTTTCTCTAATGCTGCCAGTCACTTCTGGGAGGGCAGGGAAGTGCAGAGCAGGGCCACCTGTGCTGTACGAAGTATCCCTAGGTGACACTCTCCAGCAGTTTTCTCACCCTTGATGTTTTCAGAATGCAAATGCCCTGAGGGGCTTACCTATACATTGATGTCACTCCTTCCCAGTTTACAAGATTTTGTGCCCTCAAGTAAGCCCTCTGAAATCAGGCTACCTTTTTTTCCTTTCCAACAAAGAAGCTGATTAGAAGGCAGTTGGTTCTCTGCTGCACTGGCTCGACCTGCTCTCCCCACACAGGGGACCTGCTCTGCCCATAGTAGAGCTGTGACAGGTTTGAAAGCCACTGTGGTTTGGTTGGGGTGAGTCCTAGTTATTGCCTTGAGTCACGGAAAACCTCGTGGCCAAGGAAAAGGGCCTTGGGGTGGTGTCAGGAACTGCTAGGCCTTTTGGCTGCATGAAACCCCAGGACAGCGTTCTTGTCTCCACCTTGCTGATGGCTTTGAACCTAATCTCCCAATCTGTGGCCTCTGAAGTCTTGCCATCTCCACCTGTGCAGACCTCAGGAAGCCTCCTAAGAACACTGCTAATCCCATCATGCTCCGGGGCAAACTCACTGCAGTTTCCCCTGCAAACGAGCAGCGTGGCAGGGCTGCCATGGCTCACCAGCAGCACACGCACATCATGGTGCCTCCGTGGGTCCCTGCGGTGCATGTGCCCTCTGGCCTTTCCCTGTCCCTCTCCTAGCAGGTCTGCCCAAGATACCAGTCATTTAACTGGAAATTCTAGGAGTCTGTAGAAAGACCATTGGGCAGGGGAACTGAATTTTCTCTGCCTCATCCCATCTCATCCCTGCCCAAGTATCAGCATGGGTGCAAGGAAGATGGATGTCCTCCACGTTCCCTGGCTGTAAAGTGGGGAGACAATCACAGTACAGTGCACAGCAGTCCCTTCAAGAAATGCCGGTTTCCTTGTTCCCCAGGTTCTGCAGTAAGTGCAGAAGGGGGTCATTCCAACTTAAAAGGCAGCCAGATGGAGCACGAAGCGGGGCTGGTAGCGGGTCCTGGCAGTGGGGATGGTGGCTCCTTTCTGAGGGCGGGTGGGCTTCTGGGGAAATCAGTTTCTCAACTTAGGTGGTGATTACAAAGAAGTTTTGCATTTTGATCTGTATTGTATTTTACAATAAAGAGTTGTTTTAGGTACCTGCTTCTTCATTCTTTTTGCCACATAAACACAGGCTGCTCCTCTGCGACAGAGAGCTAGGCTCAGCCTCACACATGTGGCACGCAGGGAACCCTGCCAGCTGCTCATGGCCCCACCTTTCAGCCACTGAAAGGAGGGCCACGCCCGGGTGGCTGTTCATACAGCATGATCTGAGGGGGCAGGGGCAGCAGCAGCAGCAAAAGCACAAAACGGGCCCTGGCCAGTGTGGCTCAGTCGGCTGGAATGTCATCTCATAAACCAAGAGTTTGTGGGGCATATGCCTAGGTTCCAACCTGATAATGCTGTCTTGAGAGGGAGGGCAGGCTGGCCCACAGCTAGCAGCGTGGCTCTCTATGGAACTGCTTGCAAGAGGGCAGTTCCTGTTTTTATTGAGGGCTGACCTTTCCCAGCTTGCAGTCCAGTTGCTTCACAGGACTTGCCAACACCATACGGTGTGCTTTCAAAGAAAAACAATGCTGTCACCCCTGAAATACCTATGCACTGGGACGGTATGGACGAGCTAGTGAACTGAGGACTTGCACCACTGGCCATTAGGGAAGGGGGTGCCTAGTACGGCCTCTCCTTGCACGGGACGAAAGTGTTAAGTGCTTTATCATCATTTAGACTAAAGATGCCCTGGGTTTGGCCTTCCTGAGGCTGAGCCCACCCCAGCTGGCAGCAGCTTCTGGAGCAAGCCCGCCTCTTCCCAGACCTTACCACATACACAGGGGTGACAGCTGTCGGGTCTTCAGCTGCTGCCCAGGTGGCCTAAGGTCCAGCAGTGAGCTCCTGGCTGAGAAGGGACCTGGGTCATGCTGCAGCTGGCACACCTGCCCTGGGATTCGAATGTGCCTGACCTCCGCTTTCCAGGAGGCTGTCACGCCTCGAGTTTTCTTTTGTGAGGTTAACTGGCCTGGTATAAAGTTACTGGTCAGGGAACTTTGACCTGGAAGGCCTTGCCTTGTGTTTAAGTCTCAATTCAGTGTCCTGCTGTCTTCATGGGCCACTGGAGTGCCAGCAACCCGGTGACAGAAACGCCACACCCTCTGCCTCACCACATCCATGAGAGGTAGCGCTGGAGCTCAGGCAAGGCCTCTGCAGGCTCAGAACTAGTCTGGTCCCCCAGACTGCTCTGGGGCACAGGACTCTTCAGTGTGCTGGGGAAGACTGCCATGTTTGCAAACATTAAACCTAGCATTATGGGTTTTGCAAGTGTTGCCACAAAACTAAGGGGAATTTCCTTGAACGGGATCTCCATTTTACTAATCGTCAAAGCCAAATGACAACATGAGAGCTTCACGTCCCCTCTGTGATGACAGCCTCATGCTGCACCAGCAGATTATGACAACTGAGCCTGTCGGGCATCCTCACAAGGTTTCTTAACTTAGACAGAGGTACCGATCCATCCTTGTGTCTTTTGTAGGGAGAGGGAATGAAAGGGTCAGCTAAGACACCGTAGCACTTGGGTATCAATGAGAAGAGACCACAAGTAGGTTGTCACCCACAGTGAAGGTCCTCGACTGTCACATGGCTAGGGGTTCGGTTTCAATTTCTCAACAAAATGACTCTTTACTGGGGCTTTTTCTAGCATTCTCTTTTGACCTTGGTGTGACCAAACAACTTAGTTTTCTATACACAAGTTCGGAAGTAATACCAACCTTTATTCACACTCTAGTTCAGTTTAGAGCCATCTTAGACAGTATAGCAGAGGAGGGAAAAGACCTGATTCGAGAACCAAGGCTCAAATTCTAACACAAGCACATTAACTATGTGACAACAGGCCAGTGTTACCCATGGTTCTGCAATCAGGTGGGGAGAGCATCACCCCAGCTTCCAGCAGCCCTGACAGCTGCCTCTGGCCCTGCCGCCAGCCTTGCGCTAAACCTCACAGGGACCTGGGGCGTTACTGAACCTCTGTGGTTGCCCCTGGCCCCAGGCATTCACCAAAGGAAAGAAACAGGAACCCAAATTGGTGCAAGGACTGAGAAAAACTATGTAGATGTTCAATAAATAATAGTCATTTACAAATCTTGCCTGGGATAAGGACAGAGGGCTTCTGGACAGAGGTGCTGAATTCGGACTCCAGTTTCGAAGGACAAAAGCTGGTATGAAGGTGCAACACTCACCTGGAACCCTTTTTGTTTGGTGGGTCACGTAACGTGATTCTAAAAATCAAATACGTAATACTCATCTAAGATCCGCCCAAACACTAAATACACACATTTATACCAGACGGGCTGTATACGTACACAGAAACCATGAGGCAGCTTAAACCTTTAGATCAAAATGTGTCCTAGTTGTCCCAGAGTGGTGACCAGTGACTGCACAATAGCTGTTCAGAATTGTTGGTTAAATGAAAACCAGAACTCAAAAAATCCTGGGAGAGTGTAACATTTACAAGTAAATAGTAAATACAATTGTATTTTAATTTCTTGGTCTCTGTAAACTAAGCTGTGACTGCTTTAAATTAACGATCCAAGTTATATGTATTTCCTCTGGTACTGAGGGATACAGCCTTCCAGTATCTACAACTGAGCAGACTCAGTAGATTCTATTTTACAATCTCTATATACACAGTTCAAACATTATTTTTAAACTTCATTTGGGAGTCCTTCAGTAAAAAAATAATCTCCATTCTCCACCTTCTTGGGGAAAGTGCCAGACTAACCCCTGACTGAACCTGTAGCTCTGAGTAAGTGGAAAAATCCCTATCTTCCCCATCCCAGGTCACAAAGTGCAACAAACTCACACTGAAGGGGGAGAAGCAGTATCTATTGTGTTAGAGTCTGAGTCTCTTCCCATAGCAAGAAAAGTCTCTTCACAGGTGTGCCAGTGCTGTTCCGAGTTGCCAGGGAAACGGGACTCTCAAGCCAGAGCAGGAAAGTCTTCAGGATCATCCGGGTTTGGAGCAACTTCTTGCATCTAAGAAAGAAAAGTTTTGAAACCAATTGTCATTTCCCCCATTCCTACTTGAGCAGAACACTGTGTGACACATGGCACCTGCTGTCACCTAGGGGAGGGACAGGGCCCCACTGGAAAGAGGAGAGCTTCAGGGTGGCAGGTGAGGTGCTGCCTCTGAGCTGCAAAGTACAAGGGCGCCTCTCCCTTCGCACTCCTGTCCCCTCTACAAAGTTCAGGGCAGTGCCCCCTCCTCCCCTTCCCCCTTTTTGTATCTGGCACTTCCTTCATCCAATACACAAGACAGAATGTTCACTATGTGGAACTCTAAGGGTGGCTCCAGACAAGTCCTTCCCTGGAGGGGATCACAAGCTGAGGGGAGAGACAGACTGGGAAAGTCAGTGGCAACTCCAGAAACACGCCCTGTGAAGAGGCCCCAAGCTAGGGGTTGTCCAAAGCAACCTGGTGGCACAGTACACATTACAATCAGGGAAAGTTTTTCAGGAACAGCAGGTTCTCCCAGAGGTAAGCTGCAGTGAATGAGCAAGAGATCATGGATTTTGAAACAGTGCAACTTGACCATGAAGCAGGTGGGGGCCTGAAGGCAGTTCTGAGCTGGAAGAGCACAGGTGGGCAGCAGGGGAGGGACAGACTCATCACCACACTCCACACCAGTGCTGAGGGTGGCTAGAGCTCAGCTATTGCAAAGGAGTGAATATGTATTTTCTATTCTCAGAACAGAACCTTTTTCATCTTGCTCAAGTACAGCAAACTAGGCACTCCTCCCTGGGGCTGCTTTCAGAAGCCAGGGAATTGGGCAGCAAAACCAACATTTCCCAGGCCGACCACAGAAAAGGGGCTGCTCCTCCTCATTGTCATAAGGACTCCACAGGGCCACATGGGCCACAGGGCTTTCTGCCCAACTCCCACTGAATAGGTATTTATATGTTTGCTCATAAAATGTTTATGAAGAAGCTACTACATGTGCACTGTGCTAGGCCTGGGAAAACCAATGATGAGCATGGAAACCGAGAAAAGCAGCGGTTGCTGCTGTTCACTGACACAGTCGATAATCCAACCAGTAAGAACACAATCACAAATGGAGATGATGCTTCAAAGAGAAGAAGCAAAATTTCCTGCTCAAGGACTCTGAGCTGGTCTGCAAGGAAATGCAATCAAAGAAGCCTTCTTTGAGTAGACATGGTTACCGGAGCTGTTCAGGTGAGCAGGCAAGGGTCCTGTGGGGTAAGGAGCAACTAGTCTGGGAACTAGGGGCAGAGCAGACTTGGCTGAGGAGTGTGGAAGAATGGGCTGAGCCGTCAAGCATTCTGCCTGTGCCATAAGGGTACAGGGCACACAATCAGGCCATCATGAGTAGGCAACTGTCACGCAGACTGATTCAGTGAGAGGCCTGGGGATCTTGTCTGAGGCAGAGGAGTTTTTCTCTAGTTCGTAGGGAACCTTCACAGCTGACAGTGGGCCTCCCGGAGACCCTGGGGGCCGGAGCTGCAGAGGGGCTGTACTCAACGGATGCCTATGACGTTGACATCCCCGTTCCGAACACCACCAACTCAGACCCACACTAGACAAAGGAAGAGCACACAACAGAACTGGATGGCCCTCCGAAATCAGACTAGGCAGGCCCAGGACATCCTCGTCCTCTCAGGTTCTTCAGAAAACCGCCCAGGATTTAAAATACAAATACCTACCACCACTTCTGCTCTGGGTCCATAGTTCTCTGCCCTCCTGATCCTTCCCCGGCCGCCCCGTGTGCCACCTCTGGCTCCACGCCCAGGACGAGGGAGGTTACCAAAATTAATCTCCAGCTGGGATGTGATGTCATTGGCTGCTTTCCGGAAAACGTGGGTGTCATCCTCACAGTCATTCTTTACCATCTGAAACACAGTTACAGCATCAAGCACATATACACGGCTATCTCCACGAACACACAGTGGGCTCAGGGTCCTAGCGATGGGCCACAAGGAAGCCAGGAGAGCCTCACAGCCAGAAGCAGCGCCCCCTGATGTGCCGTGGGCACTGGGCTGCCCTGGATCCAGCCGGGTGAGGGGTTGGGGGTCACATTTCACAGCCACACATTCTCGTATTCACAGTCCAAACATCTTTGAACTTAATATTACTTCCACTGAGACCAAATTTCTACCAAATTTCAACCTGTAAGGTTAACATGACTTACAGGTTGACATGACTAACAACAACTGAGATAAATGTTTTATATCCAAGTGTTATTTTGATAAGATTAAAACATTTTCATATCTGCCTTTTGTTTTATTTGTTCACAGATGACACTTTGATAAATAAGGAAATATTCTCCTTCCTTGAAGAGAACTTGCTGGAGGAACTCTTTTCAATGTAGGTGCTGACCGTACAAATACCATATGTTAAAAGCGGCCTGATCTGCAATGAACAATTCTTACTTGAACTCTATGAAAATAGTAAAACAACAGAGTGTAGGTGTCTGAGGACTGCCACCAACGCTAAATAAAGAACGCCAACTGCTTTTTAAGAAATGCTTTATACAATACTTTGAGAAAGTACATTTTATTGTAAGAGGTGAAATAAGTTCTGTCTCTTCTTAAAAGAAAACTATATTAAATAAATCTCCAATTTTGATTTGATTTCAACTCTTAATAATGGATTTAAAAAAACCTCATAATTAATTAAAATATAAGCCTAGGGAACTAGGCCAATGATCTTGGATGAGAAACCCCATAGTGCTATAAGGTTAAATGTTCCTTCAACTTGTCAAGGAAATAAAATCAAATTTCCCTGCCCTCATCTGGTAGTCCAGTTGGTTAGAGCGTCAAGGTTGTAGGTTCGATCCCCAGTCAGGGCACATACAAGAAGCAACTAATGAGTGCATAAATCAGTGGAACAACAAATCAATGTTTCTCTTTCTCTCCCTTCCTCTCTCTAAAATCAATCTATCAATACATGTTTTTAAAAAACAATCACATTTTCCTGAGCACATCAACCCCTTTTGACTATATGCTTATTATAGGTTTCAAGTGTGACATTTATGTCCCTTGAACATCCCAGATTAAAGCAGAGACCGTAAGTAGATGGACTCGTGAAGCTAAAAAAAAGGTGAAGAAAAGAACGATTCAGGAGAACTGGCATTCTGGTAAAAAGATACACACCAAAAAAACAGTAGGCAGCAAAATAATAAACCAATGCCCCCTGGTTTAGAAAACCACAGGGACCAGGCAGCGCCTCCCCAGTAAGAAGGGACAATGTGCAAAGGATGCTGAGTGAGCTCACAGTCAGAGGCCAAGTGCCTGGAGGGCCTGGCTCTGCTGTAGGCCAGTGTTAGTCTGAACTTTGCAAACAGCAGAGCTCCAAGAAGTAAGACTCATTATTCAGGTGGTTTTGTCTCTTAGGGTGCCCAGAACAAAGTAAACTGGTCACACCAAGATTTTTGGCTTATGCTGCTTTAAGAACAATTCCCAGCTAAAATCTCCAATGCTGTAATATTAACAAGGACCCAAATTGTGTGTATGTTTCTCGGAGACCAAGCTTGATGACTCAGCCCACCCAGTTGCTTCAAATATTCCTGGAGTCCTCTCTATGGAGCTAGGGAGGATGAATCTGGTGTGGATTAAGGAAGAGCATCTATTTTTACCTAACATGTCAGCTGCACATTTGTTTTAGGCCAGGTTTTATTCACAATTCCCCAGAACAAAAAACAAAGAAAGTGAAGAGGAAAAGAACTAACCCAGCTAATTGATGTACTTGTAAAAAAAAAAAAAAATCCTCCCAGAGATTTCCATCTGTACAAAAAGTCACTGGTAGTGGGACAGCTCAAAACCTACTCGTACGGCCTCTGAGAGCTTGTACTGACCCAGCAGGAGGATGGGAGGCGAATCTGCATCGTAAATGACCCTTTAATGAAAGTATTCTAACCTATGTGTAAATGGGGACAGAGGCAAATCTACCTGGTGCAACACTCCTGAGTTTCAAACAGAAAATAAATGAATAGCATCAAGCAGAAAATAAATGAATAGCGTGAAGCAGAATCTGCTCATCACCATCACTGACACAGAGACTGGTATCAAGATAAACCGCTGTGGCTAAATGGTGCAAATTATAAATTTTAAAATTAAAATAATTAACTTCAAAAACTTAAACAGAATGCAATTAATGGCTCGCTGACCATACTTATCGATATGTGCTGATAGATATTTTCAAAGCTGAAGCCTCTGTTAAAGAGCTGAACATAAACCATGAACAGTAAGGCCCTCGCAGGAGAGAGGCACTGGGAGCGATCCTGGCTGGACAACAGGCTGCTGGGCATGTCTAGGCACATCCAGGCGCTTCGTCTGCATGTCAGCTTGTTTTGCAAAGGGAGCAAAGCTGCTGCAGGAACACAAGAAAGGCCTCACAGCGCAAAGCACCCCGACCAGTTTAAAATGCTCAACTCCTCCCAGTGAAAAGCTCCAAGAATTGGAGGTGAGGGTAATCAAATCAGTCACCCTTTGAAATGGTATCATTCATGAAACCTTCTGTATAGCTCTTTTAAGACAAAAATGAAGTGCAATTAACATAAAGTATCTGCCCAGTCTCAGCACAGTTCTGAGTCCAGAGGAAAATCTACTGTCCTACTATTGCTTTAAATGTCAAGAGTTCAAGATTCAGTTATTTCACAATAAAGATTAAGTAAATTAGGCACACATCACCTCAATTACTCTTAGGTAGCAACTAGAATGCCAACTACTAATGATACATTTTCAAAACAGAAGTGGAAAGGCCCAGGCCCTTTCCAGTAAGGTAACAGTGAGGATCACCTCCACATACAAAACATCATGCTTACATCATCTCTATATTTAGACTTGTGGATCACCACTGCTTTGGAAGGGACAGAGGACTCAGGTTTCCGGATGTTAAATTCAGGCTTTGGTCTGGTCTGTTCTTGAAGAGTTTTCCACTCATCTAGGGTCATCTCTTGAACTTGAGTTTCTTCTTCTACTTCCAACTCAGGAACTCTAGAAAGTATGTAATCATCAAGAATAATTTTTGATGGGTCTGAAATGTCTACTTTTTTTGTATTTTTTAAATTTAATTATTGTTCAAGTACAGTTTTCTGTCTTTTACTCCCATCCCAGCCCACCCCCACAGTGTGAAATGTCTACTTTATCGAAGAAAAAGTCATAACCATTTGTTGAACATACTTTCACGGTTCTGTACCTCAAATATAAATAAGATAAGAAAATCTTTGAGCCATAAGCTTCCTTATTTTATGCCATCATTGCCAACTGAAGATACCTCCTGTGTTCAAAGCAGTCTTTGAAAAACAGAAACATTACCAACCCAGCTACATTAACATTGCACTTGACTACCAGGCACTCCCTTCCCGGGTAGCATTATGCATAATGAAATAATCGGAGAAGAAAAGGGAGACGCTATTGAGATTAAAAAATAAAGGAAACCATGAATAGATTATAAAATAATGGGCCACAAATGCCTAGTTTCAGAAATATCCACTTTAAATTTGTAAGTTTTTCAAAGAAAACAAGATAAACATGTAAGTTAATGAAATCCAGAAATAAACCCTCACATTTACGATCAACTGATTTTTTTGGAACAGGATGCCAAAGACAGAAGGAGAACAGTCTCTTCAAGAAATGGTGCTGGGAAAACAAGAAATCCACAAGCAAAAGAATTAAGTTGGATCCTTACCTCACACCATAAAAATAAGAGCTAGAAGTAAAAAAAACTCGAGAAAACACAGGGGTAAACCATGGCAACTTTGGGCTAAGCAATGGTTTCTTATATATGACACCCTAAGCACATGTAACAAAAGAAAAAGCAAACAAACTGAACATCACCAAAACTGAAAACCTTTGTGCTGCAAAGGACGCCATCAAGAAAGTAACAAGACAACCAACCCACAGAATGGTAGAAAATATTTGATAATATATATCTGATAATGCACTTACATCTAAGAATATGGAAAGGACTCTTACAAATCAATAAACAGAAAAGACCCAACTAAAAAACATGTAAAGTTCTGAACAGATATGTTTCCAAAAATAGGTCTATAAATAGCCAATAAGATGCTCCACATCATGAGCCACTGGGGAAATGCAAATCAAACCCACAACAACTTACACTACTCCCAACTCACTGAGATGTTTAAACCCAAAAAGACATTTAACAAACTGATGAGGACGTGGAGAAACTGGAACCTCACACACTGCTGGTGTGAATATGAAATAGTGGGGCCATCTTGGAAAACAGTCTGACGGTTCCTCAAAAATTTAAACCCAGAACCACCATCTGACTTGGCAATGCCACTCCTAAGTATATACCCAAGAGAAACAAAAATGTATTTCCATGTGATTCTTGTTTAAGAATCACATAAAAGTTCAATAACGTTGTTTATAGCAGCTTCATCTATAACAGCCAAATAGTAGAAGCAGTCTAAATGTCCATCGGCTGATAAATGAATGAACAACATATGGTATACCTCTATTGTAAAAATTATTTGGCTATAAGAAGAAATGAAGAAGTAACACGTTACAACATGAATAAATCTTGAAAACACTGTTAGGTAAGTCAGGTAAAAAATTTTACATATGACCCATTTGTATGAAATATCCAGAAAAGGCAACTTCACAGAGACAGAAAGCAGAATAGTGGTAGCCAGGCACTGGGGGGAGGGTGGATAGGAACTGACTGCTTAAGGGTATGAGGTAGAGAAAATGTTTTAGAACGAGATAATGGCGATGGTGGCATAACACTGTGAAATGTACTACATGTCACTTAATTGTACACTTAAAATGACCAAAATTATAAATTTCATTTTATACCTATTTTACCACCAAAAGAAATAATATACAAAAAACAAAGAAATGAAATATTAATATATCTTATGATATGGATAAACCAGACAACATTATGCCGCGTGATGTAAGACACAAAAGAACAAATACTATATATTCTACTCCTAAGCGGTATCTAAAATAGGCAAATTCACAGAGACAAAGTAGAAGTGGGTGATCAGAGACTGAGGGGCAGGGGGAATGGGAGTTACTATTTCATGGGTACAGATTCCTATTTACAACAATGAAAAGTTCTGAAGGTAGATGGTGGAGACAGCTACACACACTGTGAATACAATTAATACCACTAAACTGCATACTTGAAAGTGGTTAAATACCAATTTTTGTTATATATACTTGGCCACAATATTAAAAAACTGATACCAAGCGCCACTGAACTGTACAGATTAAGTTGATGAAGTATATACTATAGGAATTATATATCAATAAGGTTTAACAGAAAAAATCATTAAGGGTGGGAGCAGAAAGGGAATCAAATCTATAACACCATCAGAGTTAAAGAGCAAATGTAATTCTAGATTACAGGTTAATGATATTAAAAATATAAGCAAAATCAGAAGAGAAACCTAATCACAGAGGAAGCAAAAAGACACATTTGTAAAGTGATTTTAAATACCAAGCTGACACTAAACCATCCAAGCAGTGGGTGTCTCTGAAGAAGCATGAAGGAACTTCCTGGAATGATGTGTTACATTCTCTATCTGGATAAGAGTTTGGGTCTCCCAAGTATATGCATTTATCAAAAACAATGAATGTAGACTTACTTTTTACATTTCATAACAAGTTTTGTATCAGTTTAGCTGATGGGTATAGGTGTTTATTGTAAAATAACCTTTGCTGTGTTTGAAATTATGAATAATAAGTGTTTGAAAATAATGATATTAAAATATATCCCAAACTAATGTTGGAAAAAATATGAAAAGACATTAAAACTTCCAATACTAAAATGCTGGGAAGAACCCAAACGCATCCTGAGAAAAATTTGGTGGAAAAAATTAGATAATAAACAGCAGAACATTAAGCAGTTTAAAATGTAATGAGCCCACAAACTGCAGCCAAGATGGAGGCATAGGTAGACATACTGGGCCTCCTCACACAACCAAAGAACAACACCAAATCTAAAAAACAAAAAATAACCAGGACTGCCAGAAAACTGAACTGTATGGAAACCCGACAACCAAGGAGTTCAAGAAACATTCATCCAGACTAGTAGGAGGTGGGGAGATGGACAGGAGGGCAGAGAGGACTCCCGGCAAGGCAGCAGCTGGCAGGCCAAGCAGCGGCTCGCAGACTAGGCGGTCCCACATTCACGTGCAGATAAACCAGGAGGAACACCTGTGGAGCGAGACAGACCAAGCAACCCGGGGTTCCAGTGCAGGGAAATAAAACCTCAAACACATGATAGAAAACACCTGTAGGGATTGAGGCGGGGGAGAAACTCCCAGCCTCACAGGAGAGTTTGTTGGAGAGACCCCACAGGGTCCCAGGATGTACACAAACCCACCCACGTGGGAATCAGCACCAGAAGAGCCCTATTTGCTTGTGGGTAGTGGGGGAAGTGACTAAAAACTGGCAGAGAGCAGAGCAAGTGCCATTGTTCCCTCTCGGACCCCTGCCCCACATACAAACAACATCACAATGAAGCAACCAGGGTTGCCCTGAACTGGTGAATACCTAAGGCTCCATCCCTTACTACATAGCAGGCATGCTGAGACAAAAAAAAATGACCCAAATAAAAGAACAGATCAAAGCTCCAGAAAAATTACAACTAAGCGATGAAGAGATAGCCAACCTATCAGATACACAGTTCAAAACACTGGTAATCAGGATGCTCCAAGAACTCACTGGGTACTTCAACAGCATAAAAAAGACCTAGGCAGCAATGAAGACTGCATTATAGAGAAATAAAGAAAAATCTACAGGGAACCAACAGTGACAGGAGAAAACCAGTACTCAAATCAATGGTTTGGAGCAGAAGGAAGAAACATTCAACCAGAACAGAATGAAGAAACAAGAATTCAAAAAAATGAGGAGAGGCTTAGGAACCTCCAGGACATCTTTAAACATTCCAACATCCAAAACATAGGGGTTCCTGAAGGAGAAGAGGAAAAGCAAGGAATTGAAAACTTATTTAAACAAACAATGAAGGAGAACGTCACTAATCTGGAAAAGGAAATAGACTTTCGGGAAGCCCAGGAAGCTCAGAGAGTCCCAAAGAAGTTGGACCCAAGAGGAAACACACCAAGGCACATCATCATTAAGTTACCCAAGATTAAAATGAAGGAGAGAATCTTAAAAGCAGAAAGAGAAAAGGAGACAGTTACCTACCAAGAAGTTCCCATTAAACTATCAGCTGATTTCTCAAAAAAGAAAACTTTGCAGGCAAGAAGGGGCTGGAAAGAAGTATCCTAAGTCATGAAAGGCAAGGATCTACATTCAAGATTACTCTATTCAGCAAAGCTTTCATTTAGAATGGAAGGGCAGATAAAGTGCTTCCCAGATAATATCAAGTTCAAGAAGTTCATCTTCACCCAGCCCTTATTATGTGAAATATAAAAGGGACTTAACTATGAAAAAGAAGATTAAAAATATGAATAGTGAAATGACAACAAACTCACAGCTATTAACAACCAAACCCCCCCCAAAAAAAAAGCAAAACTAAGCAAATAACTAGAATAGGAACAGAATCACAGACATGGAGATCACATGGAGGGTTATCAGTGGGGGAGTGAGTGGGGAAGATTTTTATGGTGTCATGGGGAAGAGTGGGGGAAAAGGTACAGAGAATAAGTAGCATGAATGGTAGGTAGAAAACAGAAGGAGGTTAAGAATAGTATGGGAATGAAGAAGTCAAAGAACTCATATGTATGACCCATGGACATGAACTACAGGGGGGAATGCAGGTGGGAGAGGGTATACAGGGTGGAGGGGAATAAAGGGGGGGAATGGGACACAACTGTAATAGCATAATCAATAAAATATATTTTAAAATAAATAAGTAAACAAATTTAAAAAGGATAAAAGTACAAAAAAAAAAAAACCAAACCCCCCCCAAAACCAAAAAACTACCACCCCACCATACAAAAACTAAAGTCGATGGAAAAAGACTTTAAGTCAGACACCAAAAAATCCTAGAGAAC